CGAAAAGACCTTCAAGGTTGATCGACACGGCCGCGTCGAGATCGTCAGCATTGATCGTCTCAAACCAGCACACGTCGATGACAGTGCCCTATCTGATAACCTGAGATTCAATGCTAGACCTAGCAAACCTACTAGCGGGATCCTCAAACCATCTTCAGGTCCCACGCTAGATACATCTGAGACCTCACTCTCACGTCCCAGTCAACAGCACGCGTCATCTGCACCGTCTACGGACGAGACGACAGTCTCACGTCCAGATCAGCAGACCACGCCGCCCTTGACTTCGGATGAGATTGCAGGCTCACGCGACGCGAACGAGACTGCCGTCTCACGTTCCGGTCGCCGAGTACGGTTACCCGTACGCTTCCTCGACTAGTCGCACAATCAACAACCGATACGGTGTAGGATTATTCCTATACTACACGCATGCTACACTCTTCTCTTTTTTGATTTTCTTTTTGTTTCCTGAGCCCACGCCTTCGACCATCTCCGTTTGGTTCCGTCGACTTCAGTCAACTTTGGCGAAAGCTGGATTGGCCACCCACGCTCTTGTCAACGTACTCAGTCGATATCTTCGTTTCGAATGTTTGGCGTACGCTTGGTCTCGAACTTGGTCGTTATGGTCGCTTCTGGTTCATCGGCTCAACGTGGTTTCGTCCTACGTCTGCAGCGTTTCTGGTCCGGACCCCTACGAACGCCATCTTCAGATTCTGGATACAAACCACTCTGGTGTAGCATGCCAACTCAAGCAATAAATACAACACATCGCTCCTGGTACCGTTCTCCGAAAACGACCTTCGTTGGCAACTCGACGATCAACGATCGCTTTCCTGTTCGCCAATTCTTCCGTCCTACAATCGCTCGTCAGCCGATCAGTCCCACGATTCAAACCGCTATTTATCGAAAGTGTAAACCCTTTCTAGCGGGGGGCTCCTGTAGTGACTCACATTTATCACGAGAACACGACTGGTTTAATAAAAACAATTATTATTATAACCAACTGTACCAGTGTTTGTTTTAATGTGCTTTTGTTTAACTGTGCTAATTATAGCCATTTTGTGCTTCCATTACCTTCCATCATTGTTCCGCGGTTTTTGGTACTGTTCGCACGTACTCTTTCTTGGCACGATCTCGGTATTCGTTCAATACCACGAGATCGCCAACGAAATAAATCTGGTTACGTTCAACCTCGCCTTCTGATTTATCTGGCACGTGTTTCTTGGTAGCGGTGTTCACAGTTAATCTCAACTCGACGCCACGCTACAGTTTATACGATAATTCACATACGTGTGAATATTATACATATTAATTGCATATGGTTGCAAAAGTGTATGTAGTGACTCACGTTTATCACGAGAACACGACTGGTTTAATAAAAACAATTATTATAACCAACTGTACCAGTGTTTGTTTTAGTGTGCTTTTGTTTGACCGTGCTAATGACAGTTATTTTGTGCCTTCATTCATATACTTACATTTTGATTGTAACTTCGCGCGAATTCGGTTACGTTCTGTAACCAAGCCTGTATTCTGGCACGATCTCGGTATCCTTGCGATACCACGAGATCGCCAGCAAATATATATCTCGATTTGGTCCATTAACTGTCTTCTGGTATTTGGCTTCTCGGGGGTTTATGGATTTATTTGGTTACGTCCAACCTTCAACTTCTGATCTATTTGGCACGTGTTTCTTGGCAGCGGTGTTCATAGTTAACCTCAACTCGACGCCACGCTACATGTATAGTAGTGATTAGAGTCTAAACGGCGATTATTGGCAATTTAATACGAGAACGACTTCTGATCGTTACCAGTTACCGTCTATCCACTATCTAATAGCTACGTTGAAATCTGTGACAACCTTTTCGAAAACACGCTTAGTCAGGGCGCATAACTAAATTCCTATGGCCATAGATCATGTCCTGAAGACTATCATCACCATTCTTTGATGCCGTGAGAGTTTTAGAGGATGGATCTCGGTTTAAAAAGCTTCTTGAAACTCTCCAACTATTGATCATCAGCTTGCTCAGAAGGTCCAACTTTGTGCATACATATAATCATGACGATCCGATCACAATTCCAGCATACTGACCTTGTTTTCCAATGATTGGATAAACGACACGACTGTAAACATTCAGAAATACCCAATCGGAGCCAACTACCTCGACTTTCCCGGCCATACCATTGACGTTCAAAGTATTTGCCCTCGAAAAAATAGCCCGGGATAAAATAGACTACTCAGAATCAACCATAGTCAAGCAATCGCCTACGCTCAACGGACAGGTTGGCATTATCTTCAGTTCATACTGAATGATGTGCCTGTTATAAAACTAAAAATATCACGAATGTACAGTGCCTGATAACACTTCTGTCCGTAACGCCTTCATAATTGGAGGATCCGAGACATAGTCAAATCAGAAACCAGGAAACAAGGATTTCGAAGATATATTTAAAACATAGTCGGTATGTCGAAAATTTCATGGACCGGGCCGACAGTTTTTTGTAATGGATGCATGGCACGGTGTACTCAATGATGATTTGATGCAGGCGTGTGTTTGGGCGTCTTCATCTAGTATGTGTCATGTAAAACTAATAAGGTCACCATCAATGTCGGGGATGTACAGAACTATTTATTTCAGAGAATTATTCACTGTTACGAAACCGTTAACAGTAAATTTGAGGAAATGGGAAAACCATCATACTAGCCAACGACGCAAAGAAGACATTTATGACAGTAAAGGACAGTTTCATTAAATCAACAGTGCTTATACGACACAACACAAAAGTACTCATCAGTACCAACATAAACGAAGTCCATTGAGCAGTCAGAGGTATCTTCTAACAATGGGTAGAATAGATGTAGCGATTCACGACATTCTCCTCGATACGTTATCAAGACAATGAAAGGGGACTAAGGGCTATGCCTTGGGCTGTACCACACTTTCAATATTCTGTGGAAGGCCGAGAATTCATCCTGTTTACTAACCTTGATCCTCCTGCATTTTCCCTCAACCTGTTTTTAGTTAAGTGTTCTGCCCAAAAGTCCAGATAACTGGACCGGATGTCGTAGTTTACTTCAGATACACAACACATTTCTATGGCAAGCAGTCTAGTGGGAGACGCCTTATTCTGTATAACTTCATCTAGCATTTTCCAAAGGATCGACATTCTTAAATTCGACCAGCCGTGAAATGAGGACACACATATTCAGCATGAGTTTTCATCGACAAGCTTGAAACAATGAAACAAGCAGACTGAAATGGGTGAGATAGCTTCATTATGTGACAGATCTACAGGCAGAGGTCTACCAATCATACCGGAACATTATCTACGTAATGTTTTAATTGAGTGTACAAAGTTCCTCATCTGGGTATTTGAGCAACCACCAAGCTGATAGCGAAGTGACTATGCTGGCCTGACACAAACATAAAATAGAGAGAGAGTAGGCAAGCTCACGCTGCCAGAAACCCCAAATGATTAGATAATATATTGCCTCGAGGTTTACATATACAGACTGACTGACATTTATATAGTAAATATTACCAGTAACCGAAATTTATATTACTGATACTAAAACATACTTCCCGTTTGTTTTACGGACGTCTTCTGTTGATAATTGATAATTAACTGCAGTCCTTTTGTTATTATTATCACTATGAGGTTTATTTCTCATCTCCGAGACAAATTGGATCGGACTATCCAGTTTCTTTGAGTAGAAAAAGGCCTTTTGAGTGATTGTAACATTCGTGTTAGGCGGGAATTTAGCGACCAACAGGTAATGTCGAAGAAACACCTCGCGATCAACACCTAACGAGGATTGCCCCTCCGTCATATCAAGGTACCATGGATGCTTTGAATATAGTACAACACAAAGGACGTAATTACAGAAATATATTAATTACAGTAGGTACAAGCGAAAATGCGACCACCATCAGATGGGCCAGTCCATGACATACGATTAACTGATATGGGTTGGTTGTCCTTGACTTTGATAGGGAATGATGATCTGCTTGATATTCAGTGACCCAACTGCCAAATGGTTTGGCCAGGTCTCAGTTTCATTTCACTGGCCCTACAAATTTCTCTGTACAAGTTTCTGTCATGTACTCATAAGGCAGTTATTGGCTGTCGTATTGTTTCCGATTTATGTGAGCTTGAGAGAGTGAATGGCAGAAGATCAATAATACAGACACGTAAACTCCAGAAATCCTGGATTTACAACATGGCCAGAATTTGTGTAAAGTACTGTGGTTCATATCTCAAAAAGTACTGTATGCCTATTGTAACTGACTTTTTTGTAAGAAGGCCGAATTTTTCTTCACAACTCCATAGAAATCTGACTTCACAATTATTAAACTGAGGAAAGCGTACAGTTGAAGAAGTTAATAACGGCTCTCATTTTGATGCAGATGAAGTTGCCAACGGTTTGGTTGGTATGTGATGCAAAAATTTATACAGTGATATTAAACACCTTGGCTCCATAATAAAATTTGATCAAGACATTAGAACCTATCAAAAATTCTATGTTAGCTACATTGTTAGATGAATAGACATATTACCACTGCAATTTGGAAACCTCAAACACTCTACAATAAAACAGATTACATCGAAAGCGTTAAAAGGTAGAATTTTTTCGTTGTAACATGAAGTGCTTTTAGTTCACAAAAGTGACATGCCATCATGAGAAAAATCTACAACTATATCCAGATGTGGCAGCGAATTGAGTAAACACAACCAACAATTTCAGAAACTAGACTTATCTGTTTCTAATGCTCTAGTTCATAGTAGTGCTTTTGAGTACATACTAGTTCATACAGAAACTGTGCCACGTAGAACAGGAATACAAAGAACCTACGAAACGGAAGTGTAGTATGTACTGGTAATTACACTATTCTTGTCATATTCCACCATGTTTGAACCCAGTTTAGGTTTTCTAATACTTTGTAAAACCACGTCATCCAACCATTTGTTCGTACAACTCATTGTTAATGTTGTCATAGTTAGTTGATTTTGGCAAAGTTTTGAAACCTTTAACAGATCAAGAAAAAAGATGGCTGCTTGTGTAGATGCATACAGTACTGTGAGAAGTGACGATGAGAAAATAGTTGATTCTGATTCTAACAATGGAGATATACATATAAAGACATCTCTTTTTCATGGGCCTGGATGGTACGTACCATCTGAACGGCACTGGGTAAACTACGACAATTACTCCGCACTTCCAAGAATGACGAACAGAGATGCTATAGATTTCCAGTCAGAAAAAGAATTCATCAACTTCCTGAAAAAGCGTGACATACCAAATTGTTAGTATAATTCGCTTTGTCAAGCAATACATATTAATGTATGTTTACTAATAATTAGATAAGAAGATCACTGCTTACTTTCCTTCTCATCCTCCTTCTATCAAGTCGCAAATTTTTTGCCAGATACCTTCCTTTCAAGCGAGATTCAGGAGCCCTAATGAAACTAACCCAAGTACTATTCGGAGAGGTGTAGATTATTATGAATACTACCGAGAGGTAATCACTTTCTAAAGGTTTATAGGCCATGTGTTTGTAGCAAATTTTCATCATTTAGCCTAATTCCATAGAATAATAATCTGAAGCTTACGAGAGACTTTGCAGTTTGAAAAAGTTTTTGAGTAATAAGAGGTGGCTAAATTTGATGTAGCTGTGGAACATTCAGATCATTGTTCAGTGCCACATTTCTTTTCTCCCTTTTAAATTACACTTTTGACTCTGTAATTCACTTTTCATAGTTCTTTCGGACTAATATTACGTTGATGGTCAGATTTTCGAATACATTACCCCGCTAAATTGTTGATGTTGAAAGCCACTATTCAGTCAAAATAACAGAGAACTACATATATAGTGGGGCCACAACATGATAAGTAGAAGTTGTTGAATTGGTGCACCAGTTGACGATTGTCAGAATAATTCAATTTAAGTCATAAAACTAGATTAGCACAACTGCATGTGTTATACTTGAAATTTTTAATAAGATTTCAATCAAATACAAAGGAATCATCAGTAAGTACAAATACATATATTCAACAAAAACGGAAGCACCAACAATTTTTTTCGATTTTATAACCTTTTTATAAACAAGCTATACAGAAGTTAATTCCTACAAAACATTTGATCTCCACTCTTTGGTTGTCTTGATTAGTAATAATAGATTTCATTAACAGTTTTACTCAGACAAAATGCAACCACTATGATTAAAATCCTTTGAATTTGATACTCAGTAGTGAATAAATTTCAGTAAAATGTTGCGATGGGACATTTCAACTCCCTGATAACTAAATTGAGCATTACTTGAGTGCTACTGAAATCTTCCGATGGTAAAGTTGATGTGCGATGAATAGTAACAAAACTGAAGATTTGAAACGTTAAGACTGAAAATGATATTTTCTCTATCTTACTTCGCACGTTTTGTGAGTTTCAGTGCTAGTGTGTTGTAATTCAATCAACAATATGTGACCAGATATGACGTTAATAGCACAACATTTAGTTTCTAGTACTATGTCATGCCCGCATTGGTTATTCTAGACTCCGGTCAGGTTAATTAATTTATCCTTTTCGAATCACATTTTGACCTTTTCAATCATTCGCTTATAAAAGTGCCTGCTTTTATGTGAGTGTATATGTATTTATCGCTTACTCTATTCATCAGATATCGTTAACTTGTTTTTGTCAGGCTATAAATATTGAGTCAATATTCATTGGAATGTGTATGAATGTTTGACTTCTTCGATCCACCTCTCAGCTTTATTTCGACTGCTTTCTGTCAGGAACAACAAGCGCTACAAATATGAGCATCAGAAACTCATTTCCACACTTGTTTGATTTTATCTCGTTAAGTGGATAATTATATACGAGGATGGGACGTATGTATATTTTGTTGATATCATCCAATCAGACTCAGACCAGTAGACAACAAAAAATATAATAAGGCTATATCATCCTCGTTTATCATAGAACTCAAATATGTTTGTTGCAACAGCTCCATCTTTTTAAGTAACATTATACGTTCTCGCCATTTTGATACAATTATGACCTTTTTTCAATAATCCTATATTTTTCTGTATGTGCAAAAGCGTGAATGCTTCGTACACAATAATGTTTAGGGGCTGTAAAATTCAAAATGTCTGAATGCACCCAGAAGTTACGTCAAAATATTTTTAGCATTTTTGAGGTCAACGGAATAAAGCTAAAACTTTATCATTATATCCTGGAAATATGTACGTCGACAATTTAGAGTTTAAGGGGTTGTCTACATAAATATGGTGTTTACATAAGTATGGTGTTATTACTTTTGATTCTTTTTGAGTTATTTTGTCACTATAACCGTTGCTACGTGGCTGAAATATGTAATTTGGATATTCTCTAAGACGTCTACTTGTCTTACAATAATCACCAGTGAGTTGAATTATTGTATAACTTATCATTAATTTCACAGATAACAAAAGACATTTATAAATGTATCAGAAAGGGTTTTTGTGGAGATTGTAGTAATTTCAACAACTGAGATCATGAATCATGTTGGAATTACTACAATCTCCACAAAATCCCTTTCTGATACTAATCAACATATGCTCACTAGTGACTGGTTTCAAGAGGTATATCCTGGAGTTCTAGTGAGAAGCAGTGACCACAGGAGTTCAACCGGGTCAGTCGTGAGATAATAACTCACCGATGACAATGGTGGATTTGTCGCTCAATTTCGTGGATTAGTTGAAGATATACGTTAACACCGTCGGACGCCGGCCCAGTGGTCTAGTTGGTTAAGCGCCTGACTCGAGACTGACAGGTCCTGGGTTCGGACCCCGTGAGGCGGGGTTGTGGATGCACACTGCTGAGGAGTTACACAGTAGAGCGAGACGGCCGTCCAGTGCTTCCAGGTTTTCCATGGTGGTCTAGCTTCAATTGATTCATGATCTCAACTGTTGACATATATATTTGCATTCAATTTTAATTCCTACTGCTACTCCTATGTAACCATATGTAGTAATTAAGTGATTATTCACCTTAGTTTTAATTTCCGAATGCTGTGTAGCTAGCTGATGATGTGTTCTGTTAAATTGACTCATCATCATCTGATTGGTATCGACTTACTCAAGTACAAAGCACTTGCGTATTATATATATATAGACCCAAAGAAGATTCAATTGAAAAGAAAATTTCTTATCTCAACTCTTCTTAATTTATCAACAGTTATAAATACGACAACAGAAGCTTTTCTCATTTAAGTCATCTATCTCAGCGGAAAAAAATGCATTCATTTAAACTTCAAGTTCATCTCGAAAAGTTTGTCTCAGGAATGTTCATTTACTTTTAGCTTTGACTGCAAGTGTCAGATTCACTACTATTAAAGCAGCCTTAATGACCTTAGAAAAAATGATTTTTTTTAACTTTTAGTTTACTCGTGTCATATATGACTTTACAGCGCATCAAATGAAGTTTAAAAGAAAAAGTCGTTTCAAATTTAGCTTCTGATTGGTAGTTTAATCAGTGGCAATTAACGACAGTTAATAAGTTTTCAGTTATCATGTTAAACCTTTGAATAGTGAATATGTTTCTTGTGGACTGCATCAAAAATCAATTTATAACCTCGATTTAGATAAATAACAATAATTGTCAGATAATTCCTATTTAAACATTAAAATTAAAACACGAATTTCAGCGAAGGGATCTCTTTTCAACGAATTTATTATCAAGCTGTACAATCGTATATATATGAAAATTTTGTTTTTGTAAAAGTACTAATTCCGTGAGGAAATGCGAACACAGTTAATAAAAAGGGGTTGTAATACTAGATTACGTAATACGAGTGGTAACAATAGATTTAGTGAATATAATAAGATGATTAAAATGTTTTAGTCATAATAATTAAAGGTCATAGAGGTGTAGAAATAAATAAGGTGATATGATGAGCATTTACGAATAAAATAATGAGAATTTAAGACATAAGTAAAGGGGAGAATGCAGTAATAATAGTAATAATAACAATAATAATAATAATTGGATAATCAAAATACCTAAGGCCAAGGTAACGATAACGATAAGACGTACTTCTTTTGTACGCATAGTTCTGGTTTAAGCTCCTGGATGGCAAGAGCTTCGGCTATTTTTAAAAGTTGTATACGAAGAAATCTGGGTAGATTTGAACGAATCATATAAACAACCTTAAAGTCAATTTGTGGATCTGTTGAATGGTTATAGTCGATTAAGTGTTCAAGTATAGAACTCCTAACTGCTTTCCTTTCACCCTTATAGAACCAGGCTGGGATAGGTTCTCGTATCCGAGTTGAAAGCGAGCGCTGGCTACGGCCAATGTACCTTGCTCCACAAGAGCAGGTGAACTGGTAGATGCACATGGAGGCGACCAGACGCGGAAGCTTATCTTTTATGGATACAGAAAATAAGTTTCTACTAGTGAAGGATATTCGCAGTTTTGCCGCGTTAAATGTTCTTCTAATAGTTGTTGTTAGACGGTTTTTGATTACGTCCGATGTTCGGTCACCTTTAAATTCCAGACTTATATAAAGGTTTTTCTTTGGAACGGAACAACTAGAATTCTTCTCGCGACTACTTTTATTCATCTTATTATAATCACAAAATCTATTGTTATTGTTATTATTCATATTACGTAATCTAGTATTATAACCTTTATATTAACTGTGATCATATTTCCTCAAGGAATTAGTACTTTTATAAAAAAACAAAATTTTCATATATATTACGATTGTACAGCTTGATAATAAATTCGTTGAAAAGAGATCCCTTCGCTGAAATTCGTGTTTTAATTTTAACAATAATTGTGTTTCAAACATCTTGGGCATTTTGATTATGTTGTTATGCAGTGAATAAAGACGTGCTGGGGAAAACTGATTTATTGTTTAATGCACAATCACACAATAGTTTAGTAAAATGCGAAAATCATACATTAAATACGTCATTTGCATATCTTCGAATTATTTCTTACAGAACTGATTGTCTCTTCATTTCTTTCGTTTATCTTGACTGTTTTCAGTTTCTTTTTCTCTTCTTTCCATTTCAATCTTTTCAACATTCCGATCGCAGACACTCCACTTTCAATCGGTGTCACACTAATTATACTTGCAAACATGAGTACCACATACCACAGTTACAGTCTAATTGTTTACTTTAAATAGACTGTATGAAATATATTTATGGATATTTTTAAGATACTATTTCATTACAGATACTTGATGAAATGAAGACATCTGATCGTAGAAAGTTGTTATCTCCAGACATTATTGGTAACTCTTATATCAAACGTAGAATGTTATGAATAATGTGCTAATCATTTGAATTATCTGGTTCAAAAGAATTACGTTATAGTTGTTACTTTCAAACAATGCATAGAATCAGATGACATCTGAATTTATTACTATTCAGTTGATTGTAAAGCCTTCAGTCTACACATAAATCAGTGAGAAAGCAAATGCAAGTTGACGTATCCAAGTCTAGGCGGGGGCTTTATTTACATAGAAAACCTATTCTATATATATGCTTATATATTATATATACCTTTTAACTTGTAATCAGTGTGCAAAAATATACTAAATGTCGTTTTGTTTTCATTAAAGATATACGACGACGTTCTTTCAAAAGATAAAATCTTTCAAATGTTTTTATATGCATTGTATCATTATTTAGCCTACTATATTGTTCATAAAATTGAGTTTTATTTAAATCAGTTCAAACAAATTCTTTCAGTCCCAGTATGTATAAACATATGATATTGGCTAAAGTAGTAGCGAAATAGCTGTAGTAACTGGTCACAGAAAGTTGTTTATAGATTATATCGTGAAATGGCATTACTCCTTGAGTATTGAGGAAAATTATGCGTAAGGTGAATTTTCTAAGAAATAATTCTCATCGATAACTGAAACCTCCAAAATGATATATCACGAAGAACAATCATTCAATTCTAGTCTTTTAGTATATACCTGACATTTTATCCTACTGATCGAATTTATCTATAATCCTTATGTAAGGTTTGTCTGTTTGGTTTCAAACTGTCTTAGTGGAGTATTTACAATGAAAGTACTGAGGATGAATCCATATGAGGTTATAATTCAAAAAGGTAAAACGTAGTGTGTGATACTATATCTGTTTTTTGAGCATAAATTATAGAATTTGGTCGAGGAATAGAGAGAAAATAGTCACTCAAAAGCACAATAAAAAACAAACTATACGGTAATTGAATATGCCAAAAACGAATCAACTATGAACTGGAAACTTTCTTCGCGAAATTCTTCAGTTAGTACTTTATATATAAGAATTTAAAAAATGTAAATTTGATCGTGGCGACTAGTAGCAGTGTGCATTAGTCTAGCTTCGTCCATTGGAAGTTCATCTTTACAAAAATATCGCTCTTTTCCTATTAGTCAATATTTTAAACAAGGGCTTACGTAAATTATTCTGATTTTCATGAAATTGACTGACAAGTAAGTATTGAGCTTTAAGCTATAGCTTATCTATCAGGACTGGTAAGGCAATACGGGTGTTGAAAACCGAAATAGGGTAGAGTGCAAATATGCAACCGGAAAGTTTAAAGCGGAGTGTGCACAACTGCTCGAAATCAAAGAAATTTGTATTAATTATTCTGTCATCATATTCCTGAACATGAATGTGTTGATTACAAAGTAAAAAATTGGTAAACTTCTCGAGTTACTTTCAACTTATGGGACTTTTACCGAAATATGTAGTTTGTATTTTTATTTACCAGTCTGCAGCAAACATTTTTCTCTAAACTAATTAAGACCTACGTCTTTTACCCTTCCTGGAGGAGCGTAGGTCGCCCAACATCAGTGTTCGTTGAACTCTGATAAAATGTTCCTAAGGAACGAAAAATATCTAAATACAACTTTAATGACGCTATGAACAACGGGAAATTAATCAATAGGACATTCTCCGTAGCGACTTAAGAAGGGTTTTACAGCTGATCAGTGTTCAATAATGAACGTAAGGATAAATAATTTCATTTGACCAATTTTATGTGTTTATCAACTTACTTAACTGAAAAAAGGTGAAAATGGCTCAATAAGAAGTTCAGTAATAAGACACCCTGTGAACACAGGTCATCCGATCAAAGCGGATTATGAGTTCAAAATCATATACAAAGTAAGTAGGAGGCGGCCAAGAGCAGTTATATTCTATCGTCTTAGCATTGTCGCAACACTAGTTATACATCTGGAAAAACCAGAATTGTGCCCAAGAGAAACTGGTACAACCTCTTCTACTACCATCGTTTATGAGAGATGAACTCCATAATATTTTCTTCTTTCATACCCATCTGTTTCCTTCTATCTTCCCTAAAGACCTTTTACCCCTCGACTAATTCGTTTCTGTTTGTATGTTCCTCCTGATTACAGTTCATTTCAATTTCAATATTTTATCTTATCTTACTGAACCTTCCGTCCACAATTATGATTATCAACTATCTTAATAATGAATATTCAAGCTCTCAACAACAAAATTATTTTTAGTTTATTTTTTCTGATGAAAAAATAACGTTTCTATGCCTTTGTTTATTCTACCTCGTTGTTACCATGCATAGCCAAATTCTGTTATCACTATTATTGTAATTATTATCATTTTAGAAGAATAAATACTTATTCGCTATCATCCAGTTTTGAAAATGAATTCACCTAAAAGAGAACTCTTTGCTGAACCAATTCTTTTCGTGAATTGATTTAAACCCAAACTTTTAATCAAACTTTCGTGAATTGGATTATTTTTCCACCAGAAAATTTGGTTTTCTGTTTAATAAAAATAATAGACGGAAATGTTGTCAATGTAAAATACGAACTTCAAGAGAATATGAAAGTGATAAATTCTCATTTCATTTAAAAAAGAAAAGGATAAAATTTTTAAAAAAAAATCCACTTCCATCAATAGTTAATTTACAGAGAGACAGTTGAAATTGAATTGAATTAACAGTCAAACAATTATGTACGATAAGTTAAGAAAAATATGAAGTACATTGCTTTAATAATAAGTCTATTAAATACATCAGAATAGCATAATTGATATAACCATTTCTGTCTAATTTGACAGCTAGATCAGGTGAAAACTCTATAAAAGCAATAACAAAAAAACACAACATTTTGAATGAGTAGTATATCATAAACGTATGTACTAAATATAATGCAATATTATAGTCGGATAATTAAACGGCTGGGTATTTTTTTTCTCTGGCCTACCAATTTACTCAATTGTGGTCCTTTAATTTTTTATTTTAAACTGAATGAGTTAGGTTTGATTGAGTGTCAAAGTGTAGATGAAAACTGTTGAACAATCCCAACTAAACAAATACTTGGTCGCCTTTCTTTAAATATTATCGGTGAGGGTTAATAACGTTATACTCCAATTTGTCCCATTTTTCCGATTAAAGATTGGATCGGTGAAGTTTAGATTAACTGTCTGGTATATGTGAATTTACTCTGATAATTTACACAGATAAAATATTGCATAACATAGGACAATATCACGTTGCTTCATATAGGCACGTATTGAATTAACATAGAAAAAATATAACGTTGCGAACTATGTCACATATAGGCTCCTTATAAAACGATTGTCAACGCCGTGGATTTGATATAGAGCACTTACATATTGCTATATAAATCAAAGCTGCTGTCATTGGTTACTTGATTTAATCATCCCGAACTTTAATTCCCCTTAATTCTTCCAGGACCATCAAATTGTGACCTAGAGTTTTATTAATAGTAATTTAATAAGTTTTAGGTCATTCATTAACGGTCTATACCAATGAAGTTAATTTGTAGAATAAAGCTTAGAATAAGTTGAAATAAAATTTGAGGATAAGAAATCTATGACTGCGTTAAAAATCAATAGCTACTTCATCTTAATTGGCCACATTTTGACAAACCATATAAATTGCAGTATAAAGAGAGCTAAGATGAAATCGTCAAGACATAAATGTGTTGTTCAATGATGAATAAAAACCTGCTTAAATAGTATCAGTCAGATTACTGGTCCACGGAGTAAAATCAGTGGGGTCCTAAAGCCTAGTTTAAAAACCTTTGAGAAATTATCGAGATAAACTGACTCGTTAAGCTTTTACCTTTGAAGATGCCACAGGTATTTGGAGTTTGACAACGCTTTAACCAGTAACACCTAATATGAATCGTACCCATCAAGTGAAATCAAAAGACAGAAGCGAGGAAGTTCGAAGATATATCTGATAGGCCATCAATATATTGAGGATCGTCTGATCTAATCTGGCTAGCGATTGTAGGGGTTGTTGAACACGGCGTTCCCACTCGTGATCTGGGGCGGATGTATGACCGAGCGCCTTCAGCTAGGTGAGTCCATTAAAACTAATGTGGTCAGCATCCAATGTCGAAACCTTACAGAGCTATTTATTTTGGGGATTTATTTACCGCTACACCTTTTATAGTATTCGATAAATCTAAATAAAAGTTAGAGTGCATTTTTTACCAAAAGTAATATAAGACTGACCATATTCTTAATCGATATATTGAATGAACGAATGTCAGGTGGACCTTGAAAAAAGTCAACAAACCAGATAACTCTTTTCATAGCCATTTATACTTCTGTTTTTCTTTTACAATATCAGCTCAACAAGTTAACATTGAGTTAATTCCTAACGATATTTTCTATACTTGCTTCTTACTTCGAATTAACTCAAATATACATATATAGTAATTTTACAATATAACAATTAGTTAAATGTAAACTATGGTTGAGTAATTTGTAATCATAAAATAGATACCACGTAATTACTTTTAAGTATATTCAGTAATGAAGAATTACTCTCTTTATTATTAATCTCCAAAAATTTATCATTTATACAATCTGAACAATAAGATGTAAGTTTAAATAATTCCTCTTTTAGTGTAATTGGTTTTATACCGGCAGCAAATAACCGATGTTGGTAGCTATAACAAATTTGGTACAAAGAAAAAAGAAAAGATTAAAAATAATTACAGAATCAAACTTCACTGATTGGAATCATGAGTCAATTGAAGTTAGACCACCATGGAAAACCTGGAAGCACTGGACGGCTTTCTCGTCCTAGTATGGGACTCCTCAGCAGTGCGCACACACGATCCCGCACCCCGCGAGATTCCAACCCAGGACCTGTCAGTCTCGCGCCAGACGCTTAACCAACTAGACCACTGGACCTGTCGGCGTCCAATGGTATTAATGTCTAACTTCAACCAATCCACGAAATTGCGCGGATGGACTCATGATTTCAATCAGTGAAATTTCTAAAATCTCCACAAAACCCCTTCTGATAAGAATCAAATTTATAAAATATTTACATCTTTTCTTTTTTGTTATATAATATAATTCTATTCATGATATTTAGCTTTGAATGATGAGTAAAGTATCTAGTGATATTTTGACTATAATAGTGATCAAGGACTGGAAGTTTCCCTTACAAAAACAAGAAAGAATGAAATGTGAGAATTTAAGAATAATCGGTTACCACCATTATATACCTGTAACAATTTTATTAAAGATCCAACATACTGGATAATTTGAATTAAGATAGGCAAGATTATAGTTTATGGACGAACCAATTAGGTATAAGATAACAGGTCTCGGATTTTGTCGCGAAATTCACTCATTATAGATTATGTCAATTTGTGATCAAAACCCTAAATCGAATTCGTAACCTTAACTATCAACTGTAAATCATAATTCGAGTTCCTCACATAGGTTTATAACTCTAATTTGGTCCTAGTTATTAAGTGAACACTCTCAAGGTCAGTGTAGCGTCGCTCAAAGGTCGTCCATAAATTATAGTTTCACCCTAAGATGATATCCCATTTTGTTAAATTTTGAATAAATGAATTTGTTCAATAATAAAAAAGAAATATGTTATTTCAGTTGTTTAACCTCATTATTAAGCTCCTATAAAGAAACTTTAAAATCTACTATTCTATCTTTTGATGGTTTTTGATTTTGATTATTACCCTGAAGAAGTCCTGACAAGTTAGCTGAACGAAACGTTGGGATTATTTAAATTTCAATCGCTGAGATTATTTCAAATATAATTTTCATATATAATGACTACTCTATACTCGAGGCCCAGTTTATGTCAAACTATTTGTTCTAATCTTGACGAATATCCGTATAAATTCTATCTTTTATTTATAAAAATATTTCGGGAATTTTCCTAATCAAATGTCTATTTGTAATTATTCATATGGTATTATGTAAAATTATTGCCAATATCTAGGCAATAACAGTTAGTCCGAATAAGAGAGATAATTTCGTGAAGAGTATCTTTGTATGTTACATATTTTGTTCCAGGTTTGATTCCATTTGAGGTAAGCATGATTGAAAATAATCTCAAACTAAATCAAAAAACTTTGTATGATGGTCCTTTGCTTCCTAAACTACTGACATTTCATAATTCGATCTACATAGAGGTTCCTTTTGACCACAATAAAAGCATTTATCTTTACAATAATTTATTCTTACTCAAGAACATGTACAATAAATAGTATTAAATGAATGCATTTTACAGCTTTACTTTAAATGAACTTTAATTGATACAGCAATATTTAGACAAAATTATGAAATTTGTTGGTAAGATTTAATATATGCTAATACTATCATACAATTCTATCAATTTCATTTTACATTTTTAGTTCAAACAACATCGAGTTACTTGGCAAAAATTCTTAATTTATGATAATTTGAATGATGAGAATCACTTCTAAACTGTGCGAAACTTTCAAGTCAACTTTTATTTACCCATAACTACGTCCCAGTTGGCTCTCATTTGCTTATTTATTTAAACATGTGCCCCACTTCGTCATTTCATTTGTGTGAGGGCTGGAATACTGCCTGAGTGTTCAAACCGAAGCAGGTGGTTTTCTTTGACCTAGAGGTCTAATCCACAGGGCAGTGGAGCAATGTTAAAAGATACAGTCACATAGTAGCTGGTGATCAACAATAGGTACATACGACTTTTGTTCTCTCAAGATCCTGGAGCTCATGTACACCATTGGTTTGGAATCAGGGTTTCTCAACTCGCCTATGTGAATCCTCCGCGTCCATTAACCTGATTAAAACCCCAGACATTCGCTTTTCGTCCTGTTAATTTCGTAAACAACACTCCTCGCACCGAGAAGGCAGTGAGTAGGACTTCCATGGCAGCGGTTATATACACGTGGCCATGTGAGAGAATTTGGAGAGGAAAAGTTTATTCTCCTTACCTTTGACCGCACCAGGGCATTTGTGGGCAAACTGAGAGCTAACTGCCAGCCAGAACCCGAGATCGAACCGAGGACACCTAGAACTTCAGTTGTACGCTCTACTAACTAAGCTATTCCGGCTTCTCTGATGTGCTATCGTGGGAAGTTATAAAAAGCAGAGTAGAGGGATGACATTAATTAAGGTTCATGCTATATACAAAATTAACTGATTAGATATTGGCTCATTGGATTAATGAGATCTTGTTAGAAGTGCAATATGAAAAATCTCAGCTTAATATTAAAAGTGATGATGAGTGAACACTTAAATAGAATCTCAAACGAGAATGGGATGGTTAATATTCATTGTTCTGATATGTACAGTGGTGAAGATAATGTTCATATTGTATAAAATCGCTTTCACCTAATAAGACCCACAATACTGGTTAGAAAAGAAGTAGGGAAATAAAATATTAGGGAAGACCAAACTAAAATAAGATGATTATAAATATTTATACGTATACATGTTAGTAAGTACAGATTTCCAGGTTGATATCAGTATTATGATCATATCCTGTAGTTGGAGATACCAAGTGATAAAATCAACTGAAATCTCACAGTTGTATTCATTCTCTATCTTCTTATAGAATTTGTTCACCATTCTACACATTTTATTCTCCAGTTTCATTGATTCGTTTGGATACCATGTCTTGTATGTCAATAATTTTACTGTGACATATATATTTTTTTTCTGGGTCCAGTTTTAGTCAATCCATCGATTGTTGTATTGAAAAGGACTATGTCAAATTAGATCAGTACACATTATTGACAAGTTCCACATTATCTATGACTAGCTGAATGACGAAATTTCCATAAAACTAACATAACAGTACTAATGTATTAAAACAAATTCTGAGAGATTTTCAGAATCTACCCTTAAAACATTCCATAATCCAGCAAAAAACGAAGCAGACATAAAATTTATTTAATTACCTTTTCACTATATACTGAATAGCTTCATATTCTAAGCTGATATCTTTTTGAATGAGGATTCTTGAGAAAGGTATCCCAACTTATGCATTACTGTAATCATACCGAGTACTGGATCATTGATTTCACGTAAATTACCTTGGTTGATTGTTATCGTAGGCAAAATTTGTTCAGTAGTTGATATTTCTAAAAAAAAAAGTAATTTTTTTAAAAGGGAAAAAATTAGAATAATCAGTAATACGATTATGTTGGGAAGTAGTCCACTAATATTTTGTGAATATTTTGCAAAACTAAAATTAGACACTTGAGCAATAATTAGTAGTGAAATTTGTAGTCATTTATGGCGCTTTCTGTTGTTAACTGAATTTTAATTAAATGGATAAAATTTTCATATAGATGACGAGAACTTAACCTAATACCTAAATAGGATTGATGCCCGACCTACGCTATTTAAAGTTTACAATTATTTACGCTTTTAATGATTTCTTTTAATCAGGTTTATTTTAGTTGTTAAATATTTTGTACAAAGTTGTGTAATTTTCATGGATAAAGTGACTTTTATTGTTGGTCAGTTATCCTAAAGGGTTTTCTTCGGAATAATTTCATATTTGAGAGTAATCGTCTAGCATTCCTACAATATTTAGAACTCTGAGAATCGATGAGAAGTGTATTACTATATAGTTATTGGAGCGACTACAACAGAATTTCAGAGTTCTCATATTAAAACAATCTAACAAGAATCTACATTATCTTTTAATTCCAATACTAAAATAATATTGTGGAATAATTTAAAATCATGTTTTGGATAAGGATTTTAAGCATCGTCATATTGTATGATTAGATGCTAAAACTCCACAAGGACAAGCCAAACAATTCAAGGTAATCCAGACATTCTTAACACAAGCACCATAAGCACAGATGGATGATGGCCAGCGATAGAATCCAGGATTCGCGTTTCATCCTATTTTGGACTCTCCAGCTGGATGTTTTCGCATCCCGGAGTTGATGTTCAATTTGGGACTCGAACCCAGTACGGTTCGCTTCAAACGCCATCGCGTTATCTACTGAGTTACTGAGTCCAGATAGCCACCAGCCTGTGCACTTGGATGACGTTTAATTTATTTTTGTATTGGTTGTTTGATTATTCCCATTGACTTTATAATGCCTGTCGCTTAAGGCAATACCGAGACAATTCGCGCAGGATGCACATATACCAATAAAAGACTGATCAACTGTAGTCCTAAACGTTAATGGAAATATTATAACAATCAATAGAAAAAAATGAATTCTTGACACGAATTTAAAACCTTTATCCAACATAATAGCTTATACAATCAAATCTAGTTACTAATTGAAATACCGCAACAACTTAATGGTTTAATTGTAATTTATAGGATAACAATCTATGCTTTTCCGTTTTGCACCATACAATATTTAACATCAATATCCAGTTAATAAATAATAGTATATTGTAAAAATAAGAAAAAATCAATGAAATGACCGGCTAAAGGTATTCGATTTATTTTTGCTTATATATTGCCTACTTAATACATGATTACGCAGTATGTTTATGAATTAAGGTGGTTGAATGAAAATACGGTTAGAAAATGTTTCGTATTACTATTTGAAAATAACTTTATGTCCAATCATTTGTAATTACAGTTAATCCATTTAATCTTACAAGCTAAATAAAAAGTAAATTTGATTCATTCAATACATAAGTGAAAACGTTGTTCATAACTATTATATTAGATAAACGTTGCACAATTCAAGCAGAAACAATATCCAGTCTAGTAACGGTTAGTGAAAATCTAATTGAAGTTCATAAATGATCATAATTCCATTTTAATGTGAAAGGCTAATATATTAGTTGTTTATCTGGACTGATTTACTATTGTAATTCTAGAAGATTACTTTAACACATTGATGATGTATGTAATTAAATTGCATATTTGCATGATGCATGAATAATAAATGTCAGTAAGTAACATAATTAACTCCGCCTGAAGTCCCTCCAGGGGTTACTGCCGGTCCCAAGCCCGGATAAAGGAGGAAAGTTGGGCATGGGGTTAGCGACCCTATCCCGTAGAAAACTAACTCGCTAAAAAAACACTAACCAGAAAAAATTATTCAAACCTTTTAAAGTAAAGTAAGTAAGTAAGTAACATAATTGTGAAATATTATCAATATCATTATTTATAAGATAAAAATTACAATTCACTGATTGTGAGAAACGTACTTCCCTAATTATTAGCTAAAAATGAAGTTTAAGTAAACGTTTAATCTATTTATCTGATGAACAATCTGCAATACTCAAGTTTATCATGATGTGAATTATTCCATTATATCAAAGCTACTAGAGTTCAGTTTGAATAGAAGACGTATTTACAATTCAGGTCACACCAGAAAAATACAACTTCATAAAATTACGATAATATTTATAACTATCGTACTAAATGGAATATTACTATTAAAAATGACTTACTTTCTACATTGGAATCAGGTACTCTAACCTGTAATGAATCATAAAATTGATGTATAAAATATATTCATTAGGCATAATAAAAATTTAACTTATAATTTTTATTATTTATGATGTACAATAAAGTATATTTCACTGGTTGAAATCATGGGTCAATTGAACCTAGACCACCATGGAAAACCTGGAAGCACTGGACGGCCGTTTCGTCATATTGTGGGACTCCTCAGCAGTGCGTATCCACGATCCTACTCGCGGGATTCGTACACAGTACCTCTAGTCTCGCGCGCGAACGCTTAACCTACTGGACCACTGAGCCGGAACCCAATGGTGTTATTGTCTATTGTGGATGCGCACTGCTGAGGAGTCCCACAATAGGACGAAACGGCCATCCAGTGTTTCCAGGTTTTCAATGATGGTCTAACATCAATCAGTTCGTGATCTCAATCATAAGCTTAACAATCTCCACAACCACTAAACTAATAATTCAATATATTTATGTTCATTTAGTAAACAGGCAGAAATAGCCTTTCAAATAATAAAAGTACGCTGGTGTTATAACTGTGACTGCAGATTAGAGAGCAGCGTATTATCGACTGGACCGAAGACGTGTAAAACACGTAAGAACTGCCTAAAGTTCTGATTGGTTCCGCCTCCCTGTCTAGCCCAGCCAGTTGAGTCCAGAACACAAGTCTCAGCCTCTGAGATATGAATCGTTATATTGTAAGCATACTCTGTTTATATACCAATCAAGCAGACCACATCGTACCATAAAATAGAAAACATTTGACACGCGAAATAAGTATTGACCAGTAGGAAAATGACACGTGAAATAAATATTGACCAATAGGAAAATGATACCATCTCAAGTCCAATGATAGCGTTAGACTTAACAGAATAATTTTCGGGGATATTTTTTTGAATATCCCAACAGCTGGATATTTTTATTTTCGAAATCTTAAGAGTAAAATTAATCGTGTTCTAAGTAGCAATTAACTTCTTATTGAAAGATAATTAGAAGTAAATTGTTAAATTTTAACAGTTAAATTCATTAGAGAACTTATGATCTATGAAACATTTTCTGGTAGTTAATTACAAAGCTTAAAAAAAGTTTCATTACACGGTTAAGAAACATTCCCGTTTAAAATTTTTTTATCCATGTTCAACAGGATAAATATTGTCAATTATTACAAGTAATAATTATTATAAATTCACTTGGTATTGCTTATTTGGATCTTCCCATTAATGTTTAGGACTGCAAATGATTAGTCTCTCATTGGCAGATGTGCATACTCCGTGTATTGCCTTTATAATGCCTTCATTCACAAGCATTATAAGCAAAGATGGATAGTGGACAGCAGTGGAATCCAGGATGAGTATTTCGTCCTGACTTATCAATTGAAGTCCTAAACATCAATGGGAAGATTCAAGTAAACAATATCAAATGAATTTAAACTTCACCCCATTGCACAAGCAAGTGGCTATCTGAACTCAGTAGCTAAGTGGGTAACGCGATGACATTTGAAGTAAACAGTATTGGGTTCGAGTCCCAAAGTGAATATCAACTCTGAAATACAGGTACATCTAGATGACGAATCCCAAATAGGACGAAACGAGCGTGCTGTATTTCACTTCTAGCCGCTATCCATCTTTTCTTGTAATAGTTATTATACTTTGAATATCCTATTATTCAAATATGTTTATCAGTAAACACATCTTCAGCCAGAAATACGTAAGCTATATGAGTGATAGTATTCGGATACCATATCATAAAACAACAAAATGTTATATTTAATAACAAAAATAATACATTTGTAAAGTTGCAATGTGTTTAAATCTATGGTAGTTTAATTCGTTTATTTATTCTTGTTGTCGGAACAAGTGGATTAAACTAGGTGATGAAATATTAGAAAATCGATTTCTTACTAGTTGGGACCTTACAAATATAGTATATTTATTACAAACAATCTATCCAACAAATAAGAACTTTATTCTAAATTTGATCGAATAGTTTCACAGTGTTTGAGCGCTGAGTTGATGTGAGACATTAAAGAGGTAGAATGTATTTGTAAAATCTCAGCGAATGAATTTGAAGTAAAACCAACGTTTCACCTGGCAATCTAGTCCAAATTTTTTCAAGAAAGAAAAATACATTCTTCCTCTTTAATCTATCTAATGTTCAATTTATTTGAAATTACCTAGTCAAACCCTAGTGATAATACTCAAAAATATGTATATGTTCTGAATCAAATTGAAAAGTTCTCTTTCCAAGTAATTTTTAGAAACCCACTTATTCAAATTCAAAGTTAACAGACATCAAATAATATACACTTTTAAGAATAATCCCTGCCACAAAGCATCTATATCTCAATTTTTACTCTTGGTTAGGCTATGGATATACATTGTTAGGAAGTCCAATACCAGCAGGAAACAGATGAACAGTGTTCTGTGATTTGCGAATAGTTGTCTAGTTACAGTTATTTTATGACTTTGGTCATGAATATTCAATTTGTTAAAACAAAAAGTGATAATTTCATTTGCATAGTTATAATAACTCACACAGAACAATAATAAAAAAGAGGGATAGTGAACTGGTGTGACCTCTCATGGAGGAGAATGGGCTTCTCACCAGTATTCTGCATCGAACCCGATGTTTACTTCACAATAGTAAGTGATAGCTTGTAGATGAGTTGTTTGGTTTACAATATTAATAAGTGGTTAACAGGCTGATACATTAATACAAAACAACCATAAAGCATGATAATAATATTTAAAAAATAAAATTTATAAACAGTGCAAAAATGCGTTAGATGTGCAAAGAGACTTGTGTGAATAACTATGAAATTTGTCAACGATGAAAACAGCGTTATGATCTGGAAACTAAATTCGCATATTTTACGCCAAATTATCGAATACTATAGAATAAACGGATTTTCCTGTCCTAAAGTATATATATATATAAGTGGATAGAGAGAGAGGATTAAGTGTTGCATACTTTATTTCCTCATTTAAATAGTTATTTGATTACATAATACATGCCTAAAAGACTACTTGAACTTCTTACATTATTAATATATGTACTATGTTTCTCACAAACTTGTTCATCCTTAGAGTGTTTAAAAGGACAACACAAATCACATATAATGGTATTTTGAAACTCTTTTAATTTTCCTTTAATTTTTGCACATTTTGATTGTGTAGCATCTAATTGGGACAGAATATCACTGGTCAAATAAGTAGCCACACCTAAAATAAACAATGAAGTAAACACATAAATTGTATTTACACTAAAATATTTATGCTCTTTATCAATTAAAAACACAATTTCCTATATACATACATGAAAATTAAAGTTGTTAGTTTGTTCCAAACAAAGATTTAGGTTTTAATACAACAGGCTACTCCAGCAAGATGTTTTTCAATACATTGAACACATCTGCAACCGTTTTCTGCGAACCGAATGAACAAAATTATTTGTTATCAGGACTGAAGGTAATGTAGTGACTGTCTCATTTGACTATTGTTCAATTACTATCGTCGTTGTGGCTGTGCACTGCTGAGGATTTTAATGCTAAGTTAGTACGTGATATTAATTACCTTTATTTATTGTATGTTAGAATATTAAGAAAATAAACCTGATTTTATGAAACAAGTGTCATACTTTTTCAGTACGTGGAATTACGTTACTGAATGTAATACAAATAGTTTACAAGCCGTCAAATCATGAAATCGACAGGAAGACGTTATCAACCTCAAGATCAGAAGAACATGCCACTTGATAATCTCTTTACGTATCACAAAAATGTTGAAACACAAAACAACTGTGTTAATTTCTACAATATATCCTTAGCACCGATTTTCAACAACGGCGGGGACTTCCTTAGGGAGACTATTATTATTAATTTTAATATCATTATTATCACCATTATCAGTATAGGATTGTATAGATCGCTGAATTTCATTAAAATTATGAACCGACTAATGTGGATTGGTTGAAGTTAGACATTAGCAACACTGGATGCCGGCTCAGTGGTATAGAGGTTAAGCGTTCACGCGCGAGATCGGAAGTCCTGAAGTCGATCCCTATGTGCGAGGAGGAGTCTCATACTAGAACAAAACAACCGTTCAGTGCTTCCAAGTTTTCAATGGTGGTCTAAAATCTTTCGGTTCATGATTCCAATCATTATTACTATTACGGCAGCAATGTTTATTACTAGTTAGTGATTTATATGAAAAGGTCAATTTTAAATTCTAATTAAAATTTATACCATATCAGAAACATTCCAAATCTTATTAATAGTCCCATCAACCCTGTTATAAACCATGATCAATAAGAAATCTACATTATTCTCAAGAAGCTTTAATCGTATCAAAGGTGTTGATCTATTTCAGAAGAGTTCAAACTTTTACAAAATACTGCAATTTTAAAATAAAAAGAATCTGAATCATTCGAGTACAGTAAATTATATTCATATACAATAAACAGATGTATAAAATGCTCTCTTATTTTGTAGTTTACCTGTTATATCAGGTCTCTGAGCTGGATCAGGTTTTAAACAAACTTCAATTATTTGATCAACAAGATTAGAATATTGATTTGGACATTTAATTTTGACAGATTGATATTCACCTTTTACAATACGTGATGCAGTACTAAGAATGCATTCACCTTGAAATGGTGAAGTAAATGTACACATCTGATATAGAATACAACCAAGTGCCCATATATCTGCACCCTCACCATACGGAAGACATTGTATCATTTCTGGACTATAGATGAGTTTCATTTTAAAAATATATACAATATGTATTGTTAGATTAAATATACAATTATTATTAAAATATGCACGATTCTCAAATGAAAGGATAGAAATTGAAATTAGTGAAATGATTCCTCATTATTATTTACACTCACCATTGACTGAAGCGAAAGAAAAAGACTAAGTTTCTTGACTAGTATTCGGAGCTGTGCGAGATAAAGTCTATATCAACCAACAATTCAATAATAAATCGAAAAGTATAACAATTCTTAATAAACTCAAGGCGGAAACCAGTAAACTCTTACAGTCATTAAACGCTAAGCTAGGATCGTCATTATGGTTTATGTTATACCAAAAGAGTTGTAACCCTTGAATATCTTATGGGCTATCAAAGATTCACAAGAGTAATACTCCACTAAGACCAGTGGTAGACTTTACAAATTCACCGATTTATAATCTAGCCAAATACTTAGCTAAGATACTCAAACCGTATGAAAAACTGATTAATCACGGAATTAAAAACTCTATGGAATTCAAGAACTTGGTTGATACCATCGATATAGAAAAGGATGAAATAATGACAAGTTTTAATGTATGTTCCTTATTCACTAATGTACCTATCAATAGAGCTTTCACTTCATGTGCCTGTTACTCCCAATGGAGCATAGGCAGCCGACCAGCATTCTCCACCCCACTCTGTCCTGGGCCTTCTTTTTTAGTTCCATCCAATTCTTGTTTATTTTTCTCATGTCTATTTCCATCTCCCGGCGTAATGTATTCTTTGATCTTCGTCTTTTCCTTTGGCCTTGAGGATTCTAATTGAGGGCTTGTCTTGTGACGCAGTTGGGTGCTTTCCTCAATGTGTGTCCTATCCACTTCCATCGCTTCTTCCTGATTTGTTCCTCCACTGGGATCTGGTTTGTTCTCTGCCTGGAGACCCTCCGAGGGCTACTGCCGGTCCCAAGCCCGGATAAAGGAGGAGGGTTGGGTATGGGGTTAGCAACCCCATCCCGTAAAAAACTAACTCGTTAAAAAAACGCTAACCAGAAAAAAATATTTAAAAATAGAGCTTTGGATATTATCAAGGATTGTCTAGAATCTGATTCAGATTTGAATTTACGTTGCCCACTAGATCTATCTGAGGTCATCAAGTGCTTGGAATTATGTTTAAGATCTACCTTATTCATATTTCAAGGTCATCTTTACAGACAGAAAGAGGGTATAGCAATGGGTTCATCAGTTTCTCCGATTGTAGCGAATTTATTCATGAATTCTCTAGAAACTGGTGCAATCGCAAGAAGTATATGTCCACCAAAGATATGGTTACGGTATGTAGACGACATTTTTATTATCAATAAACGGGATGGTTTAGAAGAATTACTTGACCATGTGAACAGTATTTCAGAAAACATTAAGTTGACAAAGGAATTAGAATCAGTTGACAACAAACTCGCATTTCTCGATTGTTTGGTTGAACGTAGACACAATAATAATAAGTTGAAAATAAATGTTTACAGGAAATCAACACATTCAGAGAGATACTTGGATTCTGATTCGGCTCATGCACAGTGCACGAAAGTTAATGTTGTAAAAAATTTAATGAACAGAAGTACTAAGCTTGTTACAGATAAGGAAGACTAACGAACTGAACTGAATAAAGTATTTTCTACGCTTGGGGATAACAACTACCCAAAAGAGTTTTTAAAGAAGATTGTTAAAAATGAGAGAAAAACCAAACTAGGATGTATACGAAAAGTTTGGATGTACACCGTAGTCATCCTGTAGTGAACAGAACACAGGTGGGGACAATCGCATGTACGTAACACAAAATTACAGGATTTGTTAATAAAACCTAACAATCATAAAGTACATGCTTAATTTGCAAAATGTCCATCGATTGTCTCAAAATGATTCAGACTTCATTGTTCTTGCATTTTCATAAAATTGCATTTTGTTTCCGTTCTTCACTGTTCGATCCTCTTGTCTCTCTGATTCCAGACCTTCTGTTTACGACTAACATCATATACTACTTATGTCAATATAAGTAGCACACACCACAACCCCATACCGTAGTGGAACATCGGAAGAAATCAAGCGGATTCTAAAAAAACATGATATAAGAGTGTATTTTGGGGGAAGTAACACCTTAAAACCGACATTAGTGAAAGTTAAAGACAGGTTACCAAAGGAAGAACAAGAGAACATTGTGTATGAGATTCACTGTTATGACTGTAATGCTACCTATGTTGGAGAAACATCCGGGCAATTGAATGTAAGATTGAAAGAACACAAACAATGTTTGAAAAATGTTCCCAAATCCTCGGTCGATTTGAAGAAACATGAGAATAAGTCTGCGATAGCGTTACATGCATTAGAAACAGGACACAAGATTAATTTTTAAGGGACCAAAATACTTCAGAAAGGTCTTAACACCTATAAAGAAAGATTGACAGCAGAAGCGCTGTATATATGGGCGAACAAGAACAGCATGAACCGAAAGGATGGTCTTCAATTAGCGAATACCTGGCAATTTTTCGTGTGAAAAGTAGTTTGAACCTTCTCTTTATTCAACCTGTTCATTTCACATGCAGCGTTATTTTTGACTGAGTTTTTAGCAATACAATTATGTATGCGGGACCGTGGATGTGCACTGCTGAGGAGTCCCATACTAGGACGAAACGACCGTCCAGTGCTTCCAGGTTTTCCATGGTGGTCTAGCTTCAATTGACTCATGATTTCAACCAAAAAATTATGTATTTGTTTGACCCTTAAATTTGACATGCATATAGATGATTCATTAACAATTTTTAAGCTTGAACTTGAACTTTTATTTATTCCTTCATATATAACATATTAACACCGAATGTCAATGATTAGTTCTCACACATACATACACACTCACACACATATAGTTTGTTAATCAGTTAATTATTCCCATGTAATTTCAATGGTTGAGATAATGAGTCAATTGAAGTTAGACCACCATGGATGCCGGTTCAGTGGTCTAGTTGGTTAAGCGCTTAGTGCGAGACTGATAGGTCCTGGGCTGGAATACCGCGAGGCGGGACCGTGGGCGCGTACTGCTGAGGAGTCCCACAATAGGACGAAACGGCCGTCCAGAATTACCAGGTTTTCCATGGTGGTCTAGCTTCAATTGACTCATGATCTCAGCTATTGAAATTACTACAATCTCCACAAAACCCCTTATGATAAGAATCAAATTTATAAAATATTTACATCTTTTTTTATTGTTAAAAAGCCATATATTTCTCTGATGGTTTTGGTTTTGATTATTACCCTGAAGAAGTCCAGACAAGTTAGCTGGACGAAACGTTGGAATTACTTAAATTTCAGTTGCTCTAATTATTTCAAATATAATTTTCACATATAATGACTTCCCTATACTCGGCGCCCAATTTCTGTCAAACTATTTGTTCTATTCTTGACGAATATTCGTATAATCTACCTTAGTTTAGACATTTGAAGCAGTATAACTATTATTCAATTAGATGTAGTTTGTTACCGAAAACTATTTAAAAATAGACTCAAAATGGACAAAAAAAGAACTACATATTCATTAAATAACAACTGTAACCGTGATTCATCTTAAAAGTTTCATGTCTTAAGTGAACAGTAAAAAGATACTAATTCATAAGGAGTACTACTAAATAAGATGTCATTTATGATATAATATATAATAAGCATCAAAATAAATTAAATAATACCAGGCATAAAATAATGTACCAACAGTTGATTTTATTTCATTTGAATTCAATGTTTTGTGATATGCTAAACCGAAATCCGTTATAGTAACCTGAAATAAATAAATATAATTACTGATAAATAATATAATTCATTATTATAGTTTTTAATTAGTAAATTTAATTAGAATTTCTTTCAAAAGAAAAATGGTCATACAAAGTAACAAGTGTGTTAATTCAAAAGTATAAATTATTTAAGTAAAGCCAGAACAAACATGGATGCAGAATAATATGAATTCATTATGTTTTTTGGTTTCTCATCAGATGCTTTACATTGAGGTAAGATATATTGTGGAACAATTAACATAGATGGATGAAAAGAATTGGAATGGCAAGGGTTATCAATAATAACTATGTATATGTATGCAAGAACAGGTCAGAGGTTATTTTGGGGTTAGAATCAAGAAAACATTCACTTATTTCAATTGTTTCATACTATATCTTACCTTAATGTAAAATTCTAATACATATTTGATTGTAAGCAGCTGATGAGAAACCACAAAATATAATGAATTCATATTATTCTGCATCCATGTTCGTTCTGGCTATATTTAAATTCATAAAGGGAACTAATTGTATGAAATTTATGATATATTTTTAATGTTTAGAAAGTTTTTCATTAAGCAAGTTACTTGAAGAGAAAAACTAAGCTGCTTGAAAGCCCGTTTTTCAATGGATAACATCTTCAGTTGCCAACACTATTATACATTATTATTACTTACTTACTTACGCCTGTTACTCCTCGTGAAGGAGCATAGGCCACTCACCAGCATTCTCCATCCAACCCTGTCCTGGGCAATCCTTTCTAGCTCCGTCCAGTTGTAATTCATCCTTTTCATATCTGCTTCTATAATCCGACGCAATGTGTTCTTTGGCCTTCCTCTTTTTCGCTTCCCTTCAGGGTTCCAAGTTAGGGCTTGCCTCGTGATGCAGTTTGACGATTTGCGTAATGTATGTCCTATCCATTTCCATCGTCTTTTCCTAATTTCTTCTTCAGCTGGAAGTTGGTTTTTTCTCTCCCACAGAAGGCTATTGCTGATGGTATCCGGCCAGTGGATGTTGAGTATCTTGCGTAGACAGCTATTTATAAATACTTGTACTTTCTTGATGGTGGTTGTTGTAGTTCTCCAAGTTTCAGCTCCATACAGTAGAACTGCCTTGACGTTCGTATTGAAGATTCTCACTTTGATATTGGTTGAAAGTTGTTTTGAGTTCCATATGTTCTTCAATTGTAGGAATGCGACCCTTGCTTTGCCGATCCTCGCCTTTACGTCTGCATCTGAACCTCCTTGTTCATCGATGATGCTTCCTAGGTATGTGAAGGACTCTACATCTTCCAGAGTTTCGCCATCAAGAGTGATTTGATTGCTGTTCTCCGCTTTGAATTTGAGGACCTTGGTTTTCCCTTTGTGTATGCTGAGGCCTACTGATGCAGAGACTGCTGCTACACTGGCTGTCTTCATCTGCATCTGTTCGTGTGTACGTGATAGGAGGGCTAGGTCGTCTGCGAAGTCCAAATCGTCTAATTGATTCTGAGTTGTCCATTGTATTCCGTGTTTTCCTTCAGATGTCGAGGTCTTCATAATCCAGTCGACCACCAGAAGAAAGAGGAAGGGAGAGAGTAAACAGCCTTGTCTGACTCCAGTCCTTACTTGGAATGCATCTGTCAGCTGTCCTCCATGCACTACTTTGCACTGTAGTCCGTCGTATGAGTTCCGGATAATGTTGACAATCTTCTCAGGAACTCCGTAGTGTCGAAGAAGTTTCCATAATGTCCTCCTATCTACACTGTCGAATGCCTTTTCATAATCAATGAAGTTGATGTATAGTGATGAGTTCCACTCACTGATTGTTCGACGATGATCCGTAGTGTTGCAATTTGGTCTGTGCACGACCGATCCTTACGGAATCCAGCTTGTTGATCTCGAAGTTGGGCGTCTACTGCATCCTTCATCCGGTTCAGCAACACTCTGTTGAAGACTTTCCCTGGTATTGACAGTAGTGTAATGCCTCTGTAGTTTTCACATTTGCTCAGATCTCCTTTCTTTGGAATCTTGACGAGGTGTCCTTCTTTCCAGTCCATTGGCACTTGTTCCTCCTCCCAAATCTTTTTGAATAGAAGGTATAGCATGCTTGTGGTTGCTTCGATGTCTGATTTCAGTGCTTCAGCTGGTATGTTGTCGGGTCCTGCTGCTTTCCCGTTCTTGATTTGTCTGACGGCCATTCTAATTTCTTCCGTCGTTGGTGGGTTGACATCTATAGGAAGATCTATGTGTGCTGCTTCGATGTCCGGTGGATTCATTGGAGCCGGCCTATTCAGGAGTTCCTCGAAGTATTCCACCCATCTGTTACGCTGATGTTGAATTTCGGTGATTGGCTTGCCTTCTTTGTCTTTGACCGGCCTCTCTGGTTTACTGTATTTCCCTGCTAGTTTCTTCGTTGTATCGTAAAGCTGTTTCATATTTCCTTCTCTAGCAGCTTTTTCTGCCGTCGTTGCTAGTTCTTCCACGTATTTCTTCTTGTCGGCTCTAATGCACCTCTTCACTTGTTTGTTTGCTTCTATGTATTCAGCTTGTGCTTGACTTTCTCTGCTCGTGTTCGGCTGTTGTTAATTGCTGCCTTCTTGTTCTTCCTTTCTTTGATCTTGTCCAGTGTTTCTATAGAGATCCATTCCTTATGATGGTGTTTCTTTAGGCCCAGAACCTCTTGACACGTTGAAGTTAATGCTTCCTTGATGCCTTTCCAGTTGTCCTCCATACTAGTTTCTTCTTCTTTCAGTAGATCTTGTAAGGCTTGGAACCTGTTGTTGAGAGCTATCTTGAATTCATTGAGTTTGTCAGTATCTCGAAGGAAGGCTGTATTGAACCTTTGTAGTGCTGTTTGTCCACTTGTCCAGTTCTTTTTTAGCTTCAGTTTTAAATTGGCTACAACTAGGTGGTGATCTGAAGCTACGTCAGCACCTCTCCTGGTTCTCACATCTTCCATTGTCCTTCGGAATTTTTTGTTGATGCAAATATGATCTATTTGGTTCTCTGTAGTGTGGTCCGGTGAGATCCATGTAGCCTTGTGTATACGCTTGTGTGGAAATATTGTGCCTCCTATGACCAATTTGTTGAATGCACATAGATTTGCAAATCTTTCTCCATTTTCGTTTCTCTGTCCCAGTCCATGTCGTCCCATGATATCTTCATATCCGGTGTTGTCTATTCCGACTTTGGCATTTAGATCTCCCATCAGAATAGTTAGGTCCTTTCTTGGCATTTCTCAATGATTGACTGTAGCCGCTCGTAGAACTGATCTTTAATGTCGTCGTTGCTATCATTGGTGGGTGCATAACATTGGATAATATTCATTAAGATCCCCTCCTTCTTTGTTTTGAATGATGCTTTGATGATTCTGGATCCGTGAGACTCCCATCCTACAAGTGCATTTCGTGCTACTTTGGACAGCATAAGAGCGACTCCCTGAGTGTGTGGAGCATTGTCCTCCTCGTGACCGGAGTATAGCAGCATCTCTCCCGTAGCTAGCCTTTTCTGTCCAGCTTGGGTCCAGTGGGTTTCGCTGATTCCCAGTACTGCTAAGTTGTATCTCCTCATTTCCATTGCTATTTGACTGGTCTTCCCGGTTTCCCACATTGTTCGAACGTTCCATGTACCTATAAAAATTTTTGCTCTGGTTGTTAGAAGGGGCATCGGCCTCGTGGCTTCCGAAGGAACTCGGCTTTCACCATGAAGCGTCATAATTCTTCTAACTGAAGACCTTCTAACTCCCAGGGCAGAGTTTAAATGGTTTGGATTATTTTTTCTGGTAAGCGTTTTTTTAGCGAGTTAGTTTTCTACGGGATGGGGACGCTAACCCCATGCCCAACCCTCCTCCTTTACCCGGGCTTGGGACCGGCAGTAACCCTATTAGAGCTACAGGCGGAGTTATACATTATTATTATTACTATTATAAGCCTTATTCAACACTATATTTTGGGTACTATATAGAATTCTCAGCATAAAGTATTTCAACAAGTTTCCTTTTCTTATATCTTGATCGATTCTAACGATAAATATTGAGTAATGGCCAGTTAAATGTTAGGAGTTCGGTAAGCTACATCTGAATAATGTTCATTTGTTTCAATGCATATTGCCAGCCACCATGATGTCGCTGGTTGTACCTTTTTATAACCCGTACAGCGAAACGTTGTAAAGTCTTCATAAACGCGCCTGAATAGGCTGTGAGCTTAATAGACATAATGATGTGCTAAAACAAACAAGAAAACAGATAACTTGTTGAAATATCTAAATGGGAGGAACAGGCAGCCCAGATATTAAAGCAGGTTACCATTTTGTAAATTTCCTTGTCAGGAACTATAAGTATTTCCAGTACTAAGATATATCGGTCAGCTAGATCTCCCTATGTGTGTGATTTTAGTGGCCCTAAATCTGACCCAATTGGATTATATGTTAAACAATAGACATAGATGAATGAAAAGAATTAGAATGACAAAGGTTATCAATAACAACTCTCTATATATATACAGAAACAGGTGGTAGGTCATTTGGAGTCGGAATAAAAAAACATAAGAAATGGGTGATGCAGTAATTAAGTGAGGTTCAGAGACAGATAAGATAAATTGTGTGATAATTTTAGAGGTTATGAAGGGTTTGCATATGATCCCTATAATTGAAAAACGGCTAAGATGGGTTACGTAACAACTGAACAGGATTTGAAGAGTTTATATAAGCTGAGAAAATTAAGTAAAAAGAAAAATATGAATGAAAGGGTGGTTTTAATGTACATAAAATAAGAATTCGATAACGGAAGACCACATAACAAAATGAGCAATAACAAAATGAACATAATGACAAAAAATGATTTACCAGGGTAGTAATAGGTTTATTACTGTCTCTCTTTAGATACATAAACCAGATTTGAGTTTTTTTTAATCGCTATTGCTTCAACAAATTGATACCTGGAAATTATTAATTTATAATAAACAGAACAGAAAAATCCTACAGTAGAGCCACTGACAACTCTATTGATTCGTGATCTCAATAACATTCGATAATCTCCAAGATCCCCCATAGTGTTTATTTTAAAGGTTATTTCCACGGCATTATTGATAACTAGCCTATCATCAGTAAAGTTAGTCGATCATTCATTAACACCATATGATATGGTACAAATATGTATCGGTTCAAGTTTCAACACACCACATTACTACATCAAAAAGCAAGTAACAGGATAAAAACATATAAGGTAAAATGATACTATTAATCATGGTTAGAAACTAAACACGAGAAACATAATTCAACAGAAAGGGAGAACGAATTTAAGAAGTCCGAGGCAATGTTAAAACTTGAGATATGTAAAATGAATGTACATCCCCTTCTTCACATTACGATGGATTTCAAGCGATGTTAACCAACCTCTCAAAACACTAGCGTTGATTACTTTGAGAACATTAACCAAGAAATCTATATCTGATATAACTAGTCTAAAAAGTAAATGTGCGAAATGCCAGTTAAGACTTCTAAGCTGACTTCAAATCGATATCTTATTAGATTGTATATTAAATGAACAAAATGACTTATACAGTGGTTACAGAGAAGACTTAAAAAATATTTGGTTAAGTGAGAAAAAAAACTAAATTCTTGTATAAACTGAAGATATTTTCCATCACGAACTGAAGGATCATGCAAAAACTAGTGAACAATGAATATTTACTTTCGTTTTAGTTAAAAACTCCTAAGAATTGCACATTCATGAACTCACATAGACACTGATATAGTGAGCCAAATAGGAGTAGCCAAACAGGAATGCCACTTAATAAAAATCAGAAATGACCTAAAGGACAACTGCATAATCAAATCCAGATGTTCTGTTACCAATGAATCTATCAATCTATTGTGTCTCGACTGGATCACGGATTTGAAAATGTTCGATCGACCACTTAATCTTATTTATGATCCAGATTTAAAATTTTTTGTTCAGCTATATAATCTTATTTGTAATCAAGGGTCTCCCCTTCCTTTTATGATGTACAAATGGAGGCAGTTTTCCAGTGATTTTCAAAATGATCACAAGGGGAGAGCACGACAGAGAAAAATACCCGGAGTAATCCCACACCCAGCCTCACTTAATGCTGTATCGCCAGCCGAATCAATGTTCGGAAGAAGGACTCGAACTTCACGTGACGCCAAGAATTCACATAGAAAAAGCCAGATTATAAATCTGAGATGGGGAGAACTGTATTTCGTTTTAATTAACGTCCAAGGATGTGGACTTATTTTTCAGGAGGGACGAGTTAGATAGTGAGCCAACCAGAACTAGCCAAATGAGGCCACATGACGACAATCAAAAATGACGTGGAGGATAACCACATATCAATTGACTAAGAAATGGATTCAGCTTATAAGGAATATATATATGAGTATTTATGTACATTATTCGGCAGAACAGTAGATTTTCCGTCCCATTCTTGTCTTCTCGCTCAAGCGGTCTGTTTGGAGAGTTAGCGAATACCATGCTATATATCACTCAGATTTCGGACAGCGCCCATCATAACTGAGATGCACTCAAATCTCTTACGTTTCATGTTCATCAATATACCGTGGAATCACTGAGTCGAAATTAACTTTTTCTATTGTCATTTTGTTCAATCTAATGTCACCATGAGCGAGTGACTATTCCCTTTCTTCCGAATGGGTTTAACGTCGCACATCAACTAAGACTTTCAAGAAATTCATCTGGACGATAATCCCTTATAGGTGCATGATTATTATTTATTAAGCTGGGTTCTTTGCATATTATTTTCTAGTGGTTATTGATTAATATCGGTCTACAGCTATAATTTCATCTTGTAATGAAGACTGTTTTTAACATAACAATGGTTCAGTAGAATGAACTAGTACATTACTTACCTTATTACCTTCACTAATCATTATATTATTTGATGATAAGTCTCTATGCAGTATTTTCTTCTCTTTATGTAAATAACGTAAACCTAATATTAACTGAATAAACATATTCCAGATTTGTGATTCACTGAAATATATATTCTTCTCTTTAAAAGATATAAGTAACTCTGTCAACGAAACGCCATCCAATAATTCCATCACAATGTACAAATGATCAGCTGTAGAAGCCAAGAAAAAAGTAAGCGAATATTTATTGATTAATTAATGTAATGTTTGATTACTTTTCATTTGTACAAGTCACCGTTAAATAAGACGGTTGAAACTTAAGATATTTTGAAGATTATTTCAAGTTTATTATTTATTAAGAGTAGAAGATGCCCGTAAGCTACTAGTATTTGACTACAGATGCCTTAGAAATATTGGTGGCGTCTGCTGGAATCACCGGGTAAGTAATAGTGAAGTTAGACGCAGAATATTAGGGAATGATGGTAAATCAATTGATGAGGTTGTATATCTTCATGGACTGAGATGGTTGGGTCACATGTTACACCGATCGCCACGATGCGCAATGCTGATTAGTGTTGGGGATGGTTGGAAGAAAGTGAGGGGTGGCCAAGCCAAAACGCGGCATCAGTGCTTGAAGTTACTAACTTCTAGTCTGAGTCATGTTGGTAGAGGCAAACTACTTGATTGGGGTCCGCATGACTATCGTAACCAATGGTTGGAGACTCTGGGTGATATGGCTCAGAATCGATCACACTAGCGTAGGTGTATACACTCTCTGTCTTCCCTCAAACTGTGAGATTAAGATCATCTTTATTGTGAATAATTTAAAATGTAAATGTAAGTTGAAATACTGAAAACATAAGTAAATTTTATCAGAATGGGTTTTGTGGAGATTTTAGTAAGTTGAGTAGGTTGAAGCTAGACCACCATGGAAAAGCTGGAAACACTGAAATGCCGTTTTTTTCGTCCTATTGTGCGACTTCTCAGTAGCAGTGCGCATCCACGATTCCACCTCGCGAGATTCAAACCTGGGACCTATCAGTCTCGCGCGTGAACGCTTAACCTCTAGATCACTGAGCCAGCATCCAACGGTGTTAATGTTTAACTTCAACCAATCCACAAACTTGAGCGACATATCCACCATTGTTTTTCAGTGAGTTACTTACAACAGACCCGGTTGAACTCCAGTGGTCACTGCTTCTCACTAGAACTCCAGGAAATACCTCTCGAAGCCGATTCAGTGGTTTGGAGGTTAAGCGCTTGCGCACGAGACTGATAGGTTCTGGGTTTGAATCTCACGGCACGGGATTGTGGATGCGTGTTGCTGGGGAGTCCTATGCTAGGACGAAACTACCGTCCGGTGCATCCAGGTTTTCCAATGGTGGTCTAGCTTCAATTGACTCATGATTTCAACCAGTGTAATAAATTATATCCCAAATGAATTGAAGACGAGATGAACTGAAATCGAATATCGCATATATCAGTCAAAAGAACTATACAACAATTTAAATAATTAGCATGTTTTATTAAAAAGAGAAAATTTCAATAGTTGAGATCATGAGTCAGTTGAAGCTAGACCATCATAGAAAACCTGGAAGCATAGGACGGTCGTTTCATCCCACAATAGGGCTCATGATGTCAACCATTGAAATTACTATAATATCCACAAAAACTCTTTCTGATAAAAAGGGGAAATGTTGAACAAAATCTGATCATAGAAAATTAGCCGCTTTTCTTAATGACTAAATCATTCCATTAGATGGTCAATGAATAACAGAAACTATTCACCCAATAATTTTATCAAAATCAAATTTTCGGGGTGATGAAAAGTACTCACTTCCGATTTAATCTTAAGTACTGCTGTTTACCATAAGATTCAATCACACTATAAATGTATACAGTTAACACACATTGATGGATATGATGATCATTACTAACAATCACTATTACTACTATTCTTTGTTTAGTCTCGAACTATGACAGCTGAGGTATCTAGCATTTCCTAGTTTTCAAAGTTTACCAACAAAACCAGTCGATGACTTAACCAACTCAAAATTTTATATTACTGAAAATGGTTAGTTCCCTTAATAAGTATTTTCGCAGTAATATTATCGGGTGCAGATTCAATTTCAAACAAACATCGAAAACTAGGGGAGTGTTTTTCAAAATGGACTAAATTCAAGATATCCCAATAATAAATCTCATGTATTATTAAAAGGGAAATGAAAATAGGTTTGAATTAGTGATTTCATACAAGTAAAAAACTTACAATCTAAGAATGTTTTATAATAACGAACAATATTTGGATGCCTTAGTTGTTGACGTATAACATTCACCTCATTCAATATACGATCAATACACTTTTGACGTTCATTGGAAGTTCGACCAAAAAATATTTGACTGGTACTAACCTATGAATATCGATTAATTAGAAAATAAACTGATAGAAATTATGAATAAAGTTCTCTTGATCTTTACTATCAACACATATTATTGATAGCAAGAAAAATACAAATTACTTTTGTTTCTAAAATTTTCATCAATTTCACATAGACTTTTAGTGGTCCATGGATCTGACTCCAAGATGATTGTAATAATGATTGTTGTTGAAATATATATATCGCCTATCCTAGTATATAATCATTGACTTAAATCGTGTTAGTCAACAACGGAATAAAATAAGTCAAATAACGAGAATGCACTTGTGAATACATAAATTTTTTATATAAAGCGAATGGAATAGAGAGAAGAGAAAGGACGCAGAGTTGATATGGCTGGTAAGCCAACTCCCCTTTAACCAAGCCTTAATCAATATTTATAGTTACACAAAAGTAAGTTACAAACATGTGATGGGTAATGGGATAAGAAATGTACACACACCTACGCTCTCATATAAAAACAGTCAAGATTGATAAGTGAATAATTAACAAGGTCAAAATGTGACTCAAGTAGAATGAACAGAATGAGCTGTCCGAAAGCTAGAATAAGGTATATGGGCTTAACATAATAACCGACACTACAGACCGAATGAATTCATAATACTAGAAAAAAAAATTCACAGTGATCATCTCAGTTACCTCTTTATTAAAGTCTATCGAAACATAATAAATAATTTAATAATAAAAGAAGATAAAATCAATTATTCAATAAATTAATATTTAGAAATTCTTTATTAGTACATAACTCCTTTAAAAGAAATAACTTACAATCGCTATAGATAAGCTAAAACACTAATATTCACACTTTTTATCGTGATAGTGACCATCAACTGTATGTACTTGCATTCTAATGCTTATATTCATACTAAGACTCCAAAATTCTATATTTCGCTTCAAAAGCCTCGTTAATGTCAGCAGTGGTAAAATGTAAACAGTTACAAATAATATGTTCTTTGATATGAAAAACAGTCACTCGACTATCACCAGTTCATTCCATTCTTGATTTCAGTTAGTTTTTAAAAATAACGACTATCATAACATCTAGAAAATGAATTCATTATTGAAGTTTCATATTATTAGTTCTTAACTAAATAAAGTTATACTTTGTTATTTCCTAACGAAGAATAAATATGTAGTAAATACTAGGAATTATTTATGGACTATTATTACATATATTTTTATTGGATAACTATTAAGTAACTATATTATATGTATATTCACATTCCCTTTATTATAGGGTTTCATTTGACCTATTGACTACTATCATACAACTTACTAATTTTAAGTTATTCCCAATTTATTAGTTACAGTCTCTTACAGTCACAGCCGCTTTTGGCTTGATCTTGTGTAATTGTTATTTTCTATTTTATTGAATGACGCTGTCTGATTGGCTTGTATACAAGCTACTTATATCTGAAATACATGATTTATGCAATGAAAGCCGAGATTGTGTTCTATGCTCAAACAGACAGGGCTAGACGAGAAGAGTCAGTAAAGACTTAGAGTTGACTCTAGGAACATTGCTCTTGAATTAACAATGAAATGGTTGTTTCAGGTTGTATTTATCCTTTGATTTATTCGCCAATTTACTTAACGATGACTTGATTATTTCAGCTGTTATATATATAAGTTAGTCAAGTTAACGAATATCCTCATTATACAATTCAGTGAAAATTACCTTTTTAATTGCATAACTATTATGACACATTTTATCTTTCGTTGCTTTAAAAACTTTACCATATGCACCAGTTCCAAGTAATTCCAATATTGAATATTCACGTACATAATGAATAGGTGTTCGATTTACGTCACAAGAAATAATACCTTCAATAAGTTCATTATATTCTTCATTCTATAGCACAAAAGAAAAAAAAGTAATCAATACAAAAATGAAACTACGTTTATTTTACTATACAAACATGAGTGAATGACGCCACATTAAATTAAATATTGAATTAACAAACCATTTTCATTTATGATCGAAATCATGAGTCAATTGAACCTAGACCACCATGGAAAACCTGGATGCACTGGACGGCCGTTTCGTCCTCAGCAGTGCGCATCCATTTATATTCTTTATCTAGAATACGACGACCTGTTACGTAACTTAATAATTTACCTCAGGATTCTTAATTTTCGTAGATAAGGTGATAATTTAGAAAAATTAAAACTTTAGATTATAAAATTACTGAATCGTTTTAGTATAAAAACTGAAAATGAATGATTGATATAATGGATATTCGACCTCTTTAAAAATATGAGCATTTTGAAGTTTAATTTTTAAAAAAATAATCTCTATATTTACAATCAGGATGAATAATTCATTGACGGTTATCTGTTATCACCTAAAGATCTGTGAAATACAGTTCCAAAGATAAATTACAAATTAATTATATGATATACTAGACTGTTACATAATTGTAGGTAATGTTTGTGCTGAAATAGTTGTTAAACGAAATCGGATAAAAAGACAAGTTGAATGTAAGTGTAGTCAATAAAAAATCAAACTTTATCCTCCCCATCGTTAAAGATGATGACGTTCCAAGGACAATCAGTAAAAGGCTTAACACCATATTAGACAGAAAAGAATCTGGAGCCAAACTACAAGTTTTGTATACAATATGTTCAATAACTCAAGAAAAGGTTGACAAGTGCTTTTTTTCATGTTACCGTTACCTATGTCTATAAATTTATATATCCCTCTCAATGCGGTTACATCATTCAGACAAAAAGGAGGGCTTATCCTAGATTTTTTGAAAATCTTCGTAAAACCTAAGGTCAAAAGGCAGAACAACTTAATTTCTACACAGATCTTGGACAAAAACCTTCGAGTCTATATATTTAGATCATTCAAAGTTGATAATAAAAAGATAACCTCCAACTTCTCGTAGATTCTTGAAACTGTTGCTCTTAGGCTATCCAATATCGAATTTCTGTGTCTAGAAGAAAACAGTCCTTAAAATTTCTCTGATTTGGAAAAAAGGGATCTATTTCGTTACATCATAAAATTCTTTCAACTCCCTGTCTCGATTGTTTACATTATCGCTATAATTTTCAACTACGTTTTAGGTACAATAATTACATTTTGAACTACGTTTTACGCATTCCATTTTTGTTTGTTACTTTCATCATGAGGCGTCATAGTTCTTCTAAATGAAGACCTTCTAACTCCCAGGGCAGAGTTTAAAAGGTTTGAATAATTTTTTCTGGTTAGCGTTTTTTTTAGCGAGTTAGTTTTCTACGGGATGGGGACGCTAACCCCATGCCCAACCCTCCTTCTTTATCCGGGCTTGAGACCGGCGGTAGCCCCTGGAGGGACTCCAAGCGGAGTTATTTTTGTTTGTTAGCTTTTGTTTATTATTTATTCACTTATCTCTAGTTCGTTTGTCTTTTACTGTTGTCAATGTTATAGAACATTATGACGCATATATACATTAACAATATTTTTATTTAATCTCTTAATTTACTTGTATCTTTGTTATACTATCCAGGTATGTTTTCACAGCAATGTTCAACGAACATCAATTGTGTAGTCACTTTTAACCTATTTTGTAAATTTGATTTGTAAACATTACTGGTTGTAAGTATCTGACGAGAATTTTACGAAACAAAATGAATTTATATCACTGTGCTTAATTCTTTGTTTTAGCTCTCTTCAAGATACGAAACAGACACTAGGTCTATGAAACTAAATCTGTCAAATATTCCATAAAACAATCCAATTGAACAATTGACTATTTCCAATAGACAATGTTACAAAACAAAATTCATGATTTTTTTAGTGACTTACATTCAATGATTCAAGTAGATTGACTAATTTTTGATAATCATTTGTAACTGTTGATGTGTTGATGTTGATTTCGATTAATTCCGATAATAAGGATGATGGTAAAAATGATTTGATTAAACGGCGATTATGTTCAGATGTAAATAGTCTACGTAATGCACAAAATGCATTTGCCTTGTATACAAATGTGATAAGTGATACAAAAATACAGAATACAACAATGAATACAATATAATCATAAGATTATTATGTAAAGTTAATAAGGTTTTAGTAATTGTTAAATATGAGATACGTTTCAATTAAATGGATATATATATATATATATATATATATATATATATATATATATATATATATATATATATATATATATATATATACAACTAACGGCCATAAACTATTACTTCACTTTCGATACCTAGATATGACAACACTCATTTCTTTCAACCTTAGTTACTTCAAAAGATAAATCTTACATAAACGACAAATGTCGGAGACCACAGAAGACTGATTGTAAAAAAACACATCCATCTATAAACACATGTATAATATGCTTGGAAATAAGGTGAAACAACGAGTAAACTAAAAGACTCCAAAGTTAATAAACAATATCTTCTTCGTGTATGATAGAAACTGAAAATGGTTCTCTTGAAGAGATTTACATTAAAGCAAATTCAAGTTTACAAAATATCTCTGTTTTACATCGAATAGGAAGTCAAAAAAATCCCTAAAAAGCAAAAAATATCTTTTTTGTTCTAGTCTAGGATTCTTTAAGTATGAAAACCAAATAATTAATTGTGATACCAAACTAGAAATTTCTTTGTTACTAAACACAATCGCTTTGAATCGATATTTTAAAACCCAATAGTAAACAATTCTAACTTTGGCATATTCGTTTTATGTACAAAAAATATATCATCGTATAAATGTAATCACTCCGCCAGGCCAAACATGGCACAAATCCATGAAGTCATTGACATGCGGACTGAATCATGTTGGCAGGTGTAGACTATCTGGTTGGGATCCGCGAGATGATAGCAAACAATGGTTAGAGACCTTGATTGACACGGCTCAAAATCGTTTACAATGGCGCAGGTGCATCCACTTTTTGTGTTCTCCCAAATTCTAATCTTCTGAATTCTTCATGTCCCTTATTTTTTCTCTTTCCAAATTTATTTCACTGGATTATACTCCTTGAATAACATCTTCAAACCCTAATGTTTCCGATTACTGCTTATACTCTTACTACCTCTACCACTATAGGATTTGAATCGACAATTGTATCTGTGTGCTAATGTGATATGGAAACTCGAACTGATGTACGTACGTACGAAGTTCTACGTTGTCAATAATTGACTGACTAGTTGAATTTTCTACACAAAGCCATTGTAAGATAAAGAATAATTTGATGTTTAAAATTGAAAATAAATAACTTACGTATAAATGACGAATATTTCCTAATCCAAATTTATTTGTATCAATTAACTGTTGATTTTCAACATTATTAGTTCTTTTAATTCTGACTCAATTATTAAACATTGGTTTTTAACATTTTTTGAATACTTAATTAATAATTGTGAACCAATCAAATGTATACCATTTTCACGTGCAATAATTTGAGCATAAAAATCATTCATTGCCAATTGAGACAATATTCCACATATAGCTTTATGAAGAAGAAGAAGAAGAAGTAAAATATATAACTGAAAATCAAGTATTATTTATTGTTAAGCTAATAATAGACGTGGAAACTTTCTATATAATATTTATATTAAATATTCTCATAAATTGGTCATAATTTACATTTAACATGAACGTTGTTTAGTAATTCTCGTTTAAGTAAGATCTAATATGAGTTTGTTCATCAACTATTCGAAACAAACAATCTATTGACTGTATTCAATCGCATAGCAATACGTCAAATAGTACCAAGATGTATTTATTTACCATCAAAGAAAATTTTCTCTTCGACGAAATCATTTACTTAAGTTGTATATTCGTATATATAGTTATCTGGAAAATAAATGTTTATAAAAGGATAGAAAAAATTGCATCACAAAAAATGAATTCGAGAATAAATAAAATAAGGCAGCCTGCTTGAGCATCTGGGCTACCTGTTCTTGCCATCTAGATATTTAAACAAGTTATCTATTTTTGTTTGTTTTAATATATCATTATGTCTATTAATCGCATAACCTATTCTGCTGCGTTTCTGAAAAGTGTACAACCTTTCGTTGTCAAAGTTACAAAAAGCTCAAAAGAGAGAATTTGGTTGCTGCCAATATACAACAAAAAGAATGTACATTATTCAGATGTTCATTTACTGGACTGCTAACATCTAACAGGCGATCACTCAATATTTATCGCCAGGACCGACCAAGAAGAAAGAAACGGAAACTTGTTGAAACACTATGTGCTGAGAATTTTATATTGTACCAATAATATAATATTGAATAAAGCTAATAATAATAATAATATGAGGTTATTTACTAATCAAGGGGAAAGGAAGAAAATAATTTATGGGTCAGTTAATAGTCCAATCTTTTAATAAACGGAATACACTCATTAAGACATTAAATAAGAAAGATTAGTTCAGCGAAGAGTTCTCTTTTCGGAGAATTCATTTTCAAAGATGTACAATCGCAATATATATACTTATTTTTACAGGATGATAATAATACTGATAATAAACTTGTTATACATGGTGACAGTGAGGTTAAATAAACAAAGGTATTAAAATAAAGATTTTAAAAACAAGGAAAGTTTAATAATTGTTTGATTGTTAATGGCTTAAGTATTTATCAGGTAAGGATGGCTCAGCATGATAAAATAAAATGTTGAAACAGAGATGAAATGTAATCGGAATGATCGTGGAAATAAAAACAAACCAGTTGAGGGTAGAAGATTTAAAGGGAAGGCGGGAGGTGAAGCAAATGGCTGTAAAGGAACAAGAGTATGAAAAAGAGAAAAAATTTAATGCATTAAGACCATGGTAGAAGAAGAGGTTGTAACAGTCTCTTTTGAACACACAATTCTGGTTTTTCCAGATGTATGACTATTGCTTCGGCAATGCAGAGAAGATGAAGTCTAATTGTCTTAGGAAGACTTCTACTTACCTTGTAGATGACTTTGAACGCAGAGTCTGTCTTGATTGAATGACCTGTGTTCACGATCATCCCGATTGCATTTAATCTCTGTTTCAACATTTTATTTTATCATGCTCAGCCATCCTTTCCCAATGATAATTTCCCTATCTATCTTTTGATGAACACTTAAGCCATTAACAATCAAACAATTATTAAACTTTCCTTGTTTTTAAAATCTTTATTTTAATACCTTTGTTTATTTAACCTCACTGTCACCATGTATAACAAGTTTATTATCAGTATTATTATCATCCTGTAAAAATAAGTATATATATTTGCGATTGTACATCTTTGAAAATGAATTCTCCGAAAAGAGAACACTTCGCTGAACTAATCTTTCTTATTTTATAGTCCAATTGACAGATTCGAAGAAAAACGACAAATTAAAAGTCATGATAATAAACTGAATAATAATCAAGGTAATAATTGTTATTTAGTCTCGAATCCATTTTATGATGCAATCTTTTCTATCCTCCTAAAGACATATATTTTCCATACAACTATATATACAAATGTTCAGCTTAAGTAAATGATTTCGTCGAAAAGAAAATTTTCTTCGCTGAATTCTCGTTTTCTTATTCAATGACACTATGGTTTATTTTAATTACCATCAAAGTTTACAATCACAACATTGTCATAATTGTGACATGATAAAGAAAAACTTTCTGTATTTACATTTAGTGATTGATTAGAACTAAATAAGATAAAAATATCACAAAATAAACGTCTATGTAGACTGTAGATATTTTTTACTACGAGTGATTCCGAAAAGTTAATCTTACTTTACTTTGAAATAACTAACCCTCGTCAATCTATGAAATTTTGTTTAATTTATTATAAAAGTGGAGAACTCAGATTGTGTTGATTATTTAAAGGAGCACTTAATAAAGAAGTTAAATTTCTCTAAATGGGAACTTACATGTATTACGCCGTATGGTATCTTGGTCAAAATTATGTACCTTGAGAAAAATCAATAAGAGATCAAATAACAAAATTTATTTCAGTCAGTATGATATTGCGAAGATTGTTGAGTTTTATTAAAATCACAAACCAATCTAAGTAAGACAAGTATTGATAACCTGGAAGAAGTGAACGACCATTTTGTCCTAATATGGGACTCTCCAGTAATACGGATCCACGACCATGCAATTGGTAATTGAACCAAGGACCTTCGGTCTCACCCGCAAGTGATTGACCTCTTTTATTGGAAAAACTGTATATTTCGACCGAAAGTTTTCTTAAATAATATTATTCGGTAAAGATTCAAACGTAATACTTATTACAGTAGTCTAGCTTACTGTAACATTTGTCAAAAGTTCATTTGTTCAGAATAAATATCCGGAATGATATTTTAGAATCATAAGCACCACATAGATATCCTTGAATGATTAAATTCACTAACGAACTACTAAGTAAATATAGCTTGATGATCAAATTACACAGAAAAAGCAGTGTATTAGTATTTCTTTAGATATTCTATAATTTATTTAAACCAACATTAATTCTGAATCCATTTCTCACTGTAAATCGAAAATAGCAAAAGAATCATCGAAAAACAGTAAATATATGTCAGATGGTTTATCCTACAACGGAATTCTTCAGGAAAGCCTACCTAAAACCCACATAAGATTGAAACCAAAACCCTAAGTTTTCACAGCAAGCATCCCACACTTAGACAATTGAAAAGGAGTTCTTTAGTCCACCCATAGAACGACTATTATCTATTGTCAACACTGATAACTTACTTACGTCTATTACTCCAAGTGGAGCATAGGCAGCCGACCAGCATTCTCCAACCCACTCTGTCCCACTCTGCCTTCTTTTCTAGTTCCATCCAATTCTTGTTCATTTTTTCTCATGTCTATTTCCATTTCTCGGCGTAATGTATTCTTTGGTCATCCTCTTTTCCTTTGGCCTTGAGGATTCCATGTGAGGGCTTGTCTTGTGACTCAGTTGGGTGCTTTCCTCAATGTGTGTCTTATCCACTTCCAGTGCTTCTTTCTGATTTCTTCCCCCGCTGGGATCTGCTTTGTTCTCTCCCACAGTTGGTTGTTGCTAATAGTGTCCGGCCAACGGATCCGAAGTATTTTGCGTAAACAACTGTTAATAAACACCCGTATTTTCTGGATGGTGGCTTTCGTAGTTCTCCAGGTTTCCGCCCCATATAGTAGAACTGTCTTGACATTTGTATTGAAAATCCTGACCTTGGTGTTGGTTAACAGTTGTTTTGAGTTCCAGATGTTCCTCATTTGTAAATATGCTGCTCTTGCTTTGCCGATCCACGCCCTCACATATCTGCATCAGATTCACTGCGTTCATCAATGATGCTGCCCAAATTTGTAAAGGTTTTTACATCTTCCAAATCTTCTCCGTCAAGTGTCATTCGATTGGTGCATGCTGTGTTGTATCGGAGAATCCTGCTTTTCCCTTCGTGTATATTGAGACCTACTGCTGCTGAGGCTGCTGCCACACTATTCGTCTTCTCCTGCATTTGTTGTTGCAATTGCGATAGAAGAGCTAGATCACATGCAAAGTTTAGATCGTCCAGCTGCATCCTAGATGTCCACTGTGTCCAGTCGTTCCCTTCAGATGTTGACGTCTTCGTGATCCAGTCGATCACCAGGAGAAAGAGAAAGAATGAGAGTAAGCAACCTTGCCTGACACCGGTCTTCACTTCGAACGACTTCGCCAACTGTCCTCCATGCACGATTTCGCAGTTTAATCCAGCATAGGAATTCCGTATGATATTAACTATCTTCTGAGGCACGCCGTAGTGTCGAAAAAGCTTCCATAGTGTTGTTCTGTCCACGCTATCAAATGCCTTTTCGTAGTCAATGAAGTTGATGTAGAGTGATGAATTCCATTCAATTGATTGTTCCACAATGATCCGTAGAGTTGCGATTTGGTCTGTACACGATCTATCCTTACGGAATCCTGCCTATTGGTCACGAAGCTGGGCGTCTACAGAGTCCTTCATTCTGTTTAACGATACCCTGTTGAAGACTTTTCCCGATATTGAGTGAAGAGTGACGCCCCTTTAGTTCTCATACTTTCTGAGATCGCCTTTCTTTGGTCTTTCGACCAAAAGTCCTTCTTTCCAGTCTGTTGGTACATGTTCCTCATCCCAAATCTTATTGAAGAGAATGTGAAGTATTCTTGCAGTTACCGCTACGTCTGCTTTTAGTGCCTCTGCTGGAATGTTGTCTAGTTCTTTTGCTTTGCCACTCTTGATTTGTCTGACGGCCATGCTGATTTCTTCAATTGTTGGTGGGCCAACATCTATTGAGAGGTCCGTGGGTGCTGCTTCGATGTTGGGTGGGTTCAGTAGGGCTGGTCGATTCAAGAGTTCTTTGAAGTGTTCTACCCACCTGTTTTGTTGTTCTTCAATGTTGGTGATTACCTTGCCCTACTTGCCTTTCACTGACTGTTCTGGCTTACGGTGATTTCCAGAGTTGCTTTTGTTATGTTATACAATTCTCTCATGTCTCCTTCTCTTGCAGCCTTTTCCGCCTTCATTGCTAAATCTCCCACATATTTAAGTTTGTCGGTTCTGATGCTCCTCTTCACTTGTTTGTTTACTTCTGTGTATTGAGCTTGTGCCTTGGTTTTTTCTGCTCTTGTTCGACTGGTATTGATTGCTGCCTTCTTGTTCCTTCTTTCTTCAATCTTATCCAGTGTATCAACAGTGATCCATTCCTTGTATTGATGCCCCTTGTGGCCCCGAACCTCATGGCATATTGAAGTGATTGCCTCTTTGACCCCTTTCCAGTTGCTCTCCATAGTAGTTCCTTCTACACACTGATAACTATCTCATTCTAAATATCTTTGGCTAAATAGTTAATGATGTCAATTTATATAAAAATTTAAAGACTGTTTATCTAAATAAAAATTTAATTGTCATTATATCCATGTAAACCAACATAGGATTGAGAAATGAAAAAAAACAATCCATATTCTTTAATATGTATTTATTTGAAATCAGATAATTTATTCATAACTTCCAATTTAAGCTATAAAAGTTAGCTCACCAATTTTGTTTCACAGGGACATTCTTCCGAAGTGTTTACGGCATTTGTCGACGAGTTCACATAGACTGAATAATTAGACAGTTCTCTTATGCTTCTAGGATTGTTTAAATTGGATTCGAACTGCAAACATACTCTGAAATTTATTGGAATATTTTTTATACCAACTTTATCATGAGTAAATATCATATTTTACCAAAATTTCATTTGAGATATTTTAAGAATTTTCCTAGGGAATTACAGATGAGACTGTTTTACCAAAATAATATAATTGGTAAATTACTAATTGTCATGTTTCTTAGCCACAAATACCCTTGAAAAATGAAGTTAAACGCTGACACCGAACAAATGACTAACATATAGATATTATGGGATAAAAAGGCTAGATTATGGTTTTTTTAATTCACTGTGATCGTTGCTAAATATTTAGCTGCCTATGCTCCTCCACGAGGGGAAACAGGTATAAGTAAGTATGTATTTGCTAAATATTACTTCCTTTTTTAAAGTTAGTGTGGCAACTGCTCAGAATAATATTTTTATTTTTAGTGTAATGATCAGCTGAGCATAAGATTGGTTTCACTTTTAGTATGACGTTTATTCACAATATAACATTCTTTGTAATAGTACAGTGTGAACAATGTTTAGCATGACATGCAATATGTGGTTTTGTTATAAATCTAGGCATTTTACATATATGTGATGTTTTGTTAATGAATAATCAAGTGGGTCTACAAATCAATATATAACTGAGTGTATTTTTGGCTAGTATCGCCGTGTTTTGAAATTAATACGTTTTCACGTGTACCACTCTTTGTATTTTTATTTTCCGTTGTCGGAATTGTAATGGTTTCTCTTTTACAAGTATAAATAATAGGGCGACGGGAATTTAATACACAGTTTGTTTTATGTTGTTCAACTTAAGCCCAATAATCGAATAAACACCAATGATATTAATGAAATATTTGCATAGACTTCAAAAAAGTTACACAGTTTGAAACGGAAACTATTTTGGTGGTCAGTTCTTAGATTGTTGACTAAATAACCTGAGGATTTAAAATAAACATGTGGAGAATCAAAAGTGATTAACTGTTGGTTACGACTAACGATTTAAAATCATGACAGTTCTTCTGTAGGATGAAAATGGCATACTGTAAAAACAAGACACTTTGTACATTTCGTGCAAAATACGCGGATTATGTAGATCCAATAATTGAAAATAGTGTAAACTCAAACTGAAAACCGGGCTTTATGGTCGATGTTACTGTTATTATATTCACCTTATTGATCTGAAAACATAAATATTCCACGTCAAATATGACCGATAAGTAGCACTATAAAACGGATCGATAACTTATTAATAGATACAAATCACTCTCAACTACTAGATTCCGGGCATAAATCTTACATTATCTACTATGGTTCTGGTAGCTTACTAAGTATTACTAAACCTCATACAAAAAGGGTTAATTCATAACCGAGTACATGAACTATTTTACCTGATTACTGAGTGGGAGAAGAAAAGTAAATAATTTATGCTTCGTTGTCAAAATAAACAGTTAACTCCTGTACACATAATTTCTCGTATTTACAATTACATAATCACTGACTAGTAACCGCTGTGATGTTTTTTAGTTCTTCATGCTAGTTGATGTCTATCGATCAAATTAAAATGTGACCAATAGCGCGAAGTGAATTGATATAGCCAACACTATGTTGAGGTATTAAGTGATTAGAGGCAGGCGGTAGGAATCTCTTGACGCTCTTAATCGTCAGCGGGAAGTACCTGAAACCACTTAACATCTCGAAAATGTGAGTGTAATCTTGATTAAAATAGACTAGTGGATACATTGCAAATTGATTGGTGGGTATTTATCAGTAGTAAATCACCCGATAAATATGACGCTGGTGTTTACTCAACAGTCGGTCGTTGGTAGCGTCTCAGACTGAGGAACCGGACAGCGCGATTTTGAATTACAAAATAAGTATTAGTTCCCTCAAGACTGCAGTTGCACCTCACTGACGAGTATCAGCTAACACGAAACCTAAATCTAAGATTACCTGACAGCTCAATAAAACCACCTTAAACAAATTCTCACGTTTAATATTTGCGTATAAACGGAAGATGCAGCGTATTCACTTTCAACTTTGATTTGAACGTTATCAGATTCAGATGATCACATATATAATGGAAGGTGAATTATAACCCTTGAATGGACTTTTCTATTGAACGTTATGGTGCAGATCATCAAAATAAAAGAAGCTATGACTTATTCAATGATTAAAAGGTATGAGGAATACATATAAAGTTAGGAAAAGACCTAATTGTCAATTCTACGAACACTATTCAACACTATTCAAAATATATTGAGTTAGAACCCGGGACACATTGGTACGGCTAGAATATGAGTTATATATCACGTAATAACGCCTGCTAAGTAAATTTGAGAAAAGCAAACTAAAAACTTATTGAGAATCCATGACGTTACTGACTGAAATTTATTTATTCAAATATTTAAACATGAAAATAACCTTTGCCTGGTTACCGTAGATAATTAATTAAAATCGATTCAATTGGCAAGTATGTAATTACTGCTTCTCTTGCTTTAAACATCGAACGTTCATTCATTCTTTGCGTATATTTTATTAATTTTGATACAATTTATCTTCTAATTATTTTCCAACTCTGTGATACAGTAACCTAGTTTATCAAAGTGAGAGAATGTACATTGATGTTCTACCAATCTGGAATCTCGTACATATAATGATAAGAAATGAAATACTGTTTCTTTGTATAAAGCTATAATCTACCTTAAATAATTCAATAAAATTGGTATTCCATTATGATTACGAAGAATTCGTTGACATTTTGATATTTTTGTTAATTTTTCTAAACACAATATAATGTATGTTGAAAGAGAAGTTAAATTTTCAATAATTCCATTCATTTCAATTGGTTGAACGAATGAAAAATAATCAATCATTTTGAGAATTTTCAAAAGATTCTCTTCATCAATTTTAGTTCTTTCTAGCGGTTTCTGTTATTATATAAAAAGCATGCGATAAAAAAATGATTTAAAATCAATTAAAAACAGATCTGTATCAAAACGATATAAAATAGAATAGGTATAATAAGATACGGAGGATCCACCTAGGGAGTTGGAAAACCTTGATTCCAAACCAATGATGTACAAATGGCGTATGAACCAATTGTTGGTCATCGGTTAACACGGGACTGCATCTCCTTACGTTTCTCCACTGCCTTGTGGATTAGACACTTAGGTCAAAGGCTCGAGGTGTGGTCCCCTAAGAAAACCATCTGCTTCGGTTTGGGCACCCGGGCAGTATCCCAGCCCTCACATAAATCGAATGATTTATGTGGCACATATCTATTTGGTGCCTTCTTGTGCCAATGTTTATCTGTTTGAGTAAGTAGTATTAGTAGTAGTAAGCAAGCATTTTAAAAACTAGTGTACTTTTATTTACTAGAATTTTATCTTAGTAATCAAAGGTAAATAATCATTAAACAATATGATCAGTAAGAATGCAAATAGCATATATGAACGATAGTTATTTTTAAAAAATACTGATAAACTATTTCAGTAATCTTATCAGAATTTTTTAGGAAACTTTTAAGGTATCGATTATCAATGACTGACATCAATTGTAGGTATCATTACAAATCGTAAAGAAATAGTCAAAAGTTTCGTTTATATTTGAAACCCAATTTATTATTATTAATGGCACTATTCAATATTATATTTTTGGTACAATATAGAATTCTCAGAACAAGATATTTCAACAAGTTTCCTTTTCACATATCTTGGTCGATACTGATGATAAATATTGAGTGATCGCCAGTTAGAAGTTAGCATTTCGAGAATAAACATCTGAATGATGTTCATTCTATTTAATGTATATATCCAGCCACCATGATGTCTCTGACTATACTTTTTCGTAACTTGTACAGAGAAAAATTGTAAATTTTTCGTAGGTTATGCAATTAATAGACATAATGATGTGTTAAAACAAACAAAAACAGATAAATTGTTGAAATATCTAAATGGCAGGAACAGTCAGACCAGACATTCAAGCAGGCCGCCAAGAAATAGCGAAAAAATACTACACAACGAACTGATATGAAAACCTACAAGTCATACAAAGCCTAAATAAAATCGTCTAAATAAATAATAATCATATGCTTACTATAGGTCAACTTAAAAATGAATGTGTGAAGATAAATTTCCGGAATGTCTAGGTTAAAATTGGTATAGATAGAATTAGTTACAAAATTAATGCAGTAACTCACCTATGAAATTGAGTATGGATCACAATACCGTTGACTGACTGAGATCAATACGTATAGATCACTTAGCAGTATAACGGTAGTGTGCTAATCACACTTCCTAAAGATACTTGGATTCCGTGTAAGATCAGGAATACCGAAAGCTTGGGAATTAAAAATAAATGTCTAATACTTCTTATTTTTCATTGATTTATCAAATGATACCAGTATATAATAAAGACGATTATGTTAATCAGTTACGAACGAGGATTGACCACAAGCTAAGAAGCTCATTCGCTTCAATGATACAGAATATATTTCACATAAAACTGATAGTTTATCTTTCCAGAGGTTAATATTATCATCATTTGTTTAAAGGATAAAAATGTAGAAGATTATCTCATGTGAATACACAGAATCTGACTCACATAAAGTTTAAATTGCTTTCAATTTTACTGAACATTTTTAACGGTAAACCAAAACGATTCAGTAACAATACTTACCGAGGATTCATGTTCACTTGAAATTAATGATAAAAGTTTCGGTATTAGCAATGGTTTTGTTGACAAACGTTTCAAGTAATCATCGTCTTCGGTCAATACATGAAGTAAAAATAATTTTAACCTTGATGAAATTTAAAACAATCATCACTGTGATAAAAAGTTAATTGGAAGTATAAAATTCTTAATAGAAGTGGTGTTAAAGTAGAAAAAGGAACAGAATTAAAAACGTAATTTCAGCTGGCGTCTGAAAGAATACTCATCTTTATTGGAATTTGTTATGATAGTGATTTGAATCAATCCGTAAGTTTATTTGGTTAAAGGAATCTAAAAGCGAACATCATGTCGTCTCGAAAACCCATATATAAGTAATAAAACAATGATTTTTAAAAGCATATACTTTCTAAAACAATAATACCGGTTGAATTTTCATGAGGTTTAAAGTAAACTCTTAAGGGGTCGGAACCATGTAGACTTATGAATAACAGTGTTTAACCGTCTTCACAATAATGTTCGCTCGTTCATACCTAATAATTCCTAAGTATCTTTATGTTAAATATTTGAAATTTGTTAGTATGAACTTACTGTAAAACTAGATGTCGTGACTATTGAGTGTATTTTTAATAATTAGGAATTTCGCACTATCTAGAAAATCAGGAATCACTTCACCTTCAGCCGTACTGATATATATATTCAGCAACCACTCATGCCCTAAACCGATCAAGTAAACCGCCTACTGTTCACTTGAGCAGTAATCTATGTAGTGAATATAATAATTTAGCAAAACATTTGGGAATATTCTTTTGCATCAAAGATAGAAACAAAATGTAACACCTTGACGTGAAAAAGGCTAACTTAACCACAGGACTGAGCTGTGCTATTTAGATTGTAGTACAAAATCTTAGGTGGTGTCTGTCTCTCCTGAAAACAAATCTAAAATTACCCTACATCAGGGTATATTTATAGATTTTGAATATTTACGAGATAGGATTTAATGACGAATATATCTAAAATAGTCCTTAGGACATGGACGTGGACATGGCTCACCATTAAAAGACTGTACTGCACACAAGAATAAGATTTTTTCAGTAATCAATCCGCTATGTTGATTAGTAATTATAACCTCATTGCTAAGTAATCTACACAATATTTTTAGTAGTTGAGATCACTAGTCAACTAAAGCTAGGCCACCATGGAAAACCTGGAAGCACTGGACGGTCGTTTCGTCCTATTGTGGGACTCTTCAGCAGTGCGCATCCACGATCCTCCCCTCCCCCCCCCACGAGATTCGAACCCTGGACCTATCATTCTCGCGAGCGAGCGCTTAACCACTAGACCAACGGTGTTAATGTCTAACTTCAACTAATCCACGAAATTGGGCGACATATCCACCATTGTCACAACAGACCTGTTCGAACTCCACTGGTCACTGCTCGTCACTAGAACATCAGGATCTACCTATTGAAGCCAGTCACTAGTGAACATATGTTGATTTGTGGATATTATAGTAATTTCATTAGTTGAAATCATGAGTCAATTGAAGCTAGACCACCATAGAAAACACGGAAGCAATATTTTTATTTACTGACAAAAACAAATTGTGAAACCATCAATGTTAAACCACTATTGAAAACCTAGAAGAACTGGATGGCCATTTTTTCCTAGAATGGGACTCCTCAGCAGTGTGCATCCTCGATAGAATGACGGTTTAACATTGGTCGGTTCATGATTTCAATGAAACCCAACAATTTCTTAGCCTTGTAACTTATAATAATCAGTTAAACAGTATATTATAAACAACCGCAGTACAATATACTACATAAAATATGAACATCACTGTGAATACAATCAACTAGATTTTCCTGTATCAGGATCCTAGAGAATATAAAATTTTCACTAATGATTCGTAAAGAAATATTACACAATTGTCAAACTGTATACCAACCAAACGACTTAAATAATACATTTTCGGTGTAGCTACTGAAATATATTTTAAGTAGTACTGTTCGTTTCGGAAATAAAATAATCCTAAAAGGGGCAAAAATCGTCTATATTAAAGATGATGATCTTTCAAGAAACCAGTGGTAAATGGGAATTCACTTCATTCCAAAAAAATACATCACTATACGTACTCACTTACTTACGTCTGTTACCCCTCATGGAGGAACATAGGTCGCTCACCAGCATTCTCCACCCAACTCTGTACTGGGCAATCCTTTCCAGTTCCTATTCATCTTTCTCATGTCTGTTTACAATTCGCGACGTAGTGTGTTCTTTGGCCTTCCTCATTTCCGTTTCCCTTCAAGATTTCAATTTAGTGCTTGCCTTGTGATGCAGTTTGATGATTTCCGTAATGTGTGTCCTATCCACTTCCAACGTCTTTTCCTAGTTTCCTCTTAAGTTGGAAGCTGGTTTCTTCTTTCCCATAGTACACTGCTGCTGATGGTGTCCGGCCAACAAATACTAAGTATCTTTTGTACACAATCGTTTATAAATACTTGTACGTTTTTAATGATGGATTTGGTAATTCTCGAAGTTTTAGCTCCGTATAGTAGAACAGTCTTGACGTTCGTATTGAAGATTGTGATTTTGATGTTGACTTGCATACAGTTGTTTTGAGTTCCATATATTATTCAATTGTAGGAATGTTGTCCTTACTTTGCCAATAATTACCTATACTTCTACATCGGATCCTCCTTGTTCATTGAGGATACTTCCCTGATAATTGAAACTTTCCACTTCTTCCAGAGTTTCTCTATCGAGTGAGATTAGGTTGTTGTTCTATGTGTTGAATTCGAGGATCTCGCATTTTCCCTTGTGTTTGTTGAGGACTGCTGCTGCAGAGGTTGCTGCTAAACTAGTTGTCTTCACTGTATTTGTTGGTGTGTGTGGGATAGAAGGACCAGGTCATTTGTGAAGTCCAAATCGTCTAGCTGCATCTAACCTGTCCATTTTATTCCGTCTTTCCTGTGAAAGTCTCCATAATCCAGTCAACCACCCTAAGAGGAAAGAAAAACGGAGTGAGTACGTAGCCTTTTCTGACTCCGTTCCTCACTTGAAATACGTCTGTCAGCTGTCCTTCATGCATGACTTTGCACTGTAGTCCGTCGTATAAATTCCGGATGATTTTGACGATTTTCTCACCGCATTGTCGAAGAACTTTCCATAAAGTCTTCCTATCCACACTGTCGAATGCTTTCTCATAGTCAATGAAGTTGATGTAAAGTGACGAGTTCCATCCAACTGATTGTTTTGACGATGATCGGTAGTATGGCGATTCGAGGTGTGCATGACCGACCCTTACGGAATCCAGCTTGTTGATCTCAAAGATGGACTTCTACTGAATCTTTCAGCCGGTACAGCAACACTCTATTAAAAACCTTTTCTGGTACCGATAGTTGTGTGATGCCCCTGTAGATGAGTCCTCACATTCGCTCAGATTTCTTTTCATTGGTATCTTGGTGAGATATCATTCTTTCCAGTCTGTGAGTAGTACTTGTTCGTCCTCCAAAATCTTCCTGAATAGAACGTAGAGCGTCTTTGCAATTGCTTCTATGTCTGAATTTAGTGCTTCAGCAGACATATTGCCAGGTCTTTCTGATTTCCCACTCTTCATTTGAATCTCAGTGATTGTTATGATTTCCTTGTTCTTGACTTGTCTCTCTGGTTTACAATATTTTCCTGCCAGTTTCTTCGTCGTTTCATATAGTTGTTTTATATTTCCTTCTCTTGCAGCGTTTTTCGCTGTCGTTGCTAGCTCCTCTACGTGTTTCTTCTTGTCAACCCTAATGCTCTTCTTCACTCGCTCGTTCGCTCCTTTGTATTTAGCGTGTACCTTGACTTTCTCTGTCCTTGTTGGCTATTCTTAATTACTGTCTTCTTTCTTTCTTGAATCTTGTCTAGGGTTTTGATCGAGATCCATTCCTTATTATGATGCTTCTATGACCCCTCTCCAGTTGTCCTCCATAGTAGTTTCTTCTTTCAGTAGATCCTGTGGGGATTGGAACCAGTTTCTGAAAGTTATCTTGAATTCGTTGAGTTTGTCAGCATCTCGAAAGAAAACTGTATTGAACCATTGTAATGCTATTTGTCCAGCTATCCAATGCTCCTTTAGCTTCAGTTTCACCTTGGTCACAATTAGATGGTGATCTGAAGCCATGTCAGTTCCTCTCCTGGTTCACACGTCTCCTATTATCCTTGTGAATTTTTTACTGATGCAAATATAATCGATCTAGTTTTCCGTGGCGTGATCCGGTGAGATCCATGTAGCTTTGTGTATGCGTTTGTGTGGGAATATTGTGCCGCCAATAACCAATTTGTTGAATGCACATAGATTTGCAAATCTGTCGCCATTCTCGTTCCTTTATCCTAGTCCATGTCGCCCCATGATATCTTCATACGCGTTGTTGTCGACTCTGACTTTGGCGTTAAGATCTCCCATCAGTATGGTGAGATCCTTTCTTGAGCACTTCATTATGACCGACTGCAGCCTCTCGTAGAACTGATCTTTATCGTTATCATTGCTTTGGTTGGTAGGTGCATAACACTGAAAAACATTTATCATAAATCCCTCATTCTTTGTTTAGAATGATGCTTTTTCGGTCCTGGATTCGTGGAATTCCTATCATATAAGTGCATTTCGTGCTTCTTTGGACAGCATCAGAGCAACGTCTTGAGTGTGTGGAGCATTTTCCTCTTCATGATCATGTATAGCAGCATCTCTCCCGTATTTAGCCTTTGTTGTCCAGCTTGGGTCCAATGGGTTCCGCTGATTCCCAGTATTGCTAATTTGTATCTCCTAATTCCCGTTGCTATTTGACTAGTCATCCCGGTCTCCCAAATTGTCCGGACGTTCCATGTACCTATAAAAATTGTTGCTCTGGTTGTTAGAAGGGGCATTGGCCTCGTGGCTTCCGAAGAATATCGGATTTCATTATGAGGCTTCATAATTCTTCCTTCAACTCCCAGAGCAGGATTAAAATGATTTAATTTGTTTGTTCTGGTTAGCGTTTTTTAGCATGGCTCTTTCCTACAGGATGGAGTTGCCGACCCCACGCTCAACTCTCCTCCTTTACCCGGGTTTGGGACTATCAGTAGACCTAGAAGAGCTACAGGCGGATGTGCTATTGCCCCTAAGTGCCCTGGTACGGTCGAGTGTGGGGAGTGTCCGCTCTCCCTCTCGAAATGCCCTCACATGGCCACGCGTATATAGCCACTCTATAGGAACTCCTAATTACTGCCTTTTCGCAGCATGTGTGTTGCTTACGAAATTAGCAGAACGAAAAGATAATGTCTGGCGCTTTAATTGTGTTGGTAGACACGGGTGACCCACATGCAGGAGTTGGAAAACCCTGATTCCAAAGCAGTGGTGTACATAGGCTCCAGGATTCTGAGAGGGAAAAAGGTATATGAACATATTGTCGGTCACTGGGTACCATGGGACCGCATCTCCTAAAGTTGCTTCACTGCCATGTGGATTAGACCTCCAGGTCAAAAGCCCGGGGGTGGTCTCATAAAAAAACCACCTGCTTCAGTCTGGGCACCCGGGCAGCATCAAAGCCCTCACACAAATCAGTGATGACTGCTACTGGCCTCACTGTTATCGTGCGGAGCATATGTATTTGGTGCTCTCTGTACCAATGTTTATGTGTTCAAATAAACAAATAAATGTTATAATCAAGTTTAAGTAGTTCCACGCGTCTCTTCTAAACAATTAACGAAAATCCGGTCTTAAACTTTAGTTAAGAGAATATTTTAAAACTTACAATCATCAAGTACTACAGAGAGAAGAAATGAATTGATAAATTCTCTTTTATTTGTGTGCAGTAATTTTATTCCAAAATATCAAATTTTCATAGCTCCTTGGAAGAAATATCAGCACAAAACTCGTGTCAGTAATACTAAACATAATGTCATACTTTAATTTCTAGCTCATCGAAGTGATTATTCAGTGATTAAATACCTCAGATACGATCTCCGTCTAAGATATTATACTATTTTAATGAGTGGCTGAATAAATATACTAACAATTAACTATTACTTTAGAGATCATATCATTAAACCAATCGAAATGAAAACTTGCAATTTTAACGCAGGGGGATAAATTATGACAGACACTGTTTTATATTGTATTAAATTCCATCTAGAAGAACAAGAATAGCACGTTAGATAGAAACATTCCAAAATATAAACAGTATGCAACTTGGTAAGATAATATGTATATTCAAATTAATACTATTTCTAACATTACAAGGGATAAAATCAAAGTCGTTTTATAGTTTTAGTGCACTAGGAAAGCATAAGTTATTTGACTGCTCTGAAATCAAAGGCCGATAACTTTACGATCACTTCTATTCTTTTTCTACCATTGTTAAACTGATAATTAAAATTTCATATCAACGTTGGCAAGGGTTTAATATGCCTATTAAATGTCTTAAACAGCATAGTTGATAGAAGATAACGAACTTATCAACAATATTTTAGGCAAATTTTGATCAAAAGAAAAATCGCTATTTAAATAAACCAGGAAAGTCATTCACAAACTGTTGCGTATTTTTTACATGATGTATTTTGACAAGATGTACTAAATATTTATCGAAGAAATAGTCAAGTAAGACTGTCATTAACCTGCCATAATAATGATTAAAATGACTTCAACAATGACATAATGGCTATATAAGTGCGGATCAAAAACGATTCGTATTTAAAACAATTACCGTCTCTCAACCTGATCGATGTAGGTCGAATTTTGTAACATTGCATGAATATTTACTGCTTCACCAATCTAATGTATTAATCGACCAACTCTAACGTAGAAACCTTCTGGTTCAAACAAACTACAGGGTAGAATGCATATTAATTCACATGGCCATCTGTAAATGTTTCGACATCTGTAATGAAAAAATATACTCCATCCTCAGGTTTACTACAGAAACAAAAATCAATCAAATCGAAAGAAATTTTGTAAAAGGGATAATAAGAATAACAGAATCTAAGACAAATAACTTCCGAAAACAGCATTTTCCAGAGATCTGTGTTTATCAGAAACTTACACAATATTTATAACTGATACACTAAATATTCAGTTTAGTACAAAAAGATGAAAGTTTTCTAACATTCAAGAAAAATTAATTCTATCTTTCGTTTGAAGTACTACTATGTGGAATCGCACAGATTAATAGAAACAAATTATTTGGAACTTATGATGTAACTTTAAGTAGTTCCCAGGTTTAATGATGAAACATAGACACTTAGAATCATACCAAAAACACAGCTTAATATAACATTATTTAGAACAACTTAGATCTACCTAGTGCGAAAAACATATGTTGTCACTGTTGTACTCAAGCATTTTGTGAAAAATAGCTAAGTTAGACAGAATTTGTGAGAAAAACACTTACATTATAACACCAGTTCCCAATGATAGAGGTCTCAAACTCGTTCATTTTAGTGTCTCAATAAATGACATTTTTAAGCTTTTATTAACTCAATTTGAATATTAGTAAACACTAAGCCTTCGATAAAGGATTTGGTGGAAATTTCGCAACACATTATTAATATAACTGAATCTACCACAAACCATAAAGATGTTATTATGTATTTGATCTTATAGATTGGGTAATGAAGTTCACTAAATTACCAATTTGACAGGGATATCCGTCAAACTAATTGACAATATTTTGTAGTATTACCCATGCATAGAGAAAATAGATAAAACTCTATGACAAAACCACCACAGATCTGTCATTATTTACATTTGTTTCATGAATCTATTTATGGCCGAACTGGGCTTCCAATACCGACAGTCAAGCACCTACAGACTGTATTCACAGATTTCCGTAATAACCTCCCAAAACTTCTTTATCCATGATTTATTATGAGGTCAAATAGAGATTTGATTTTTCAGAAACATCTTGGCAAGCGTAGCAGGAGAGTCGTAGTTAGCGAATAGGAACTAAGAAAACAGTCCTTTTGATAGGGTTACAGGCAAAAGTCATGAAACCACGTTTCTCACTTGATGATGTTTGCAAGCTACTTACATCACCATTAAAAGACAGTAACAATTGTAATGACGTACATAGGTCATGAAAATGAAGATTTAGATCAACGTTATCAGTCAGCGAGTCATAGACAACATACAAACTCAGCAAATCAGAACGTTCGGCGCACCAAAGTCATACGAAAAAAATATTACTGATGATACGGTAACGCTGAATCTTAAAACATTTCAACACAAAACTTGAAGGAAACCGTAACCTTTAGTCTTCAAACTTTTAAAACTTAGATCTAGAGGGTGTTCGGTTTAATAACACAACTCATTTATTCTCATTCATGTGCGTACACAAACCACACTGTATTAAATTACCAATACGAAATCGAGGTGAGATATTTCTGACCTACTATCAAGTACATACACCGAACAGAACTACAAAACATAAAGTTGAATAAGTTAAGGCTCCCTTAGTCCACTGAAGTTTAATTAGCAATAACTTTGAAGCTGTAGTTTTCCCCTTCCCAAAGAATCCTTGAAGTACCTTATCTTATTACAATATATCGTCTAAAATTAAAACTTCACTCAGTGTATGAACCCAATATTGATAAAAATCACTTAGGTTTTAATAGTACAATTTCGAAATCCTTGAATGTGTGATATTCGATAAAATACCAAGGACAGCCATAGGTTTAAATCAAGTGTAAAAATGAGAATTTATAACGGTTTGCGTCTATGCAAGTATTTAATTGTTCACATTGCACCTGTAGGCACGTTGTGTTATTGCAGAGTGAACAACTAGATCAGCTGGCTAGAATTACAGTTTGATCAAATCCTTAGATAAGATGAGAATTAACGCTTAACTCAATAAGTTTTCAAATAACAGTAATTGCCTAATTAAATGTATAGATCCAACCAACCCACCAATAATTTTAAACCGAATGTCTCACTATATCCGTATATGCCGCTACGCTTTTTGTGTAGCGACTGATGTAAATGCATATGTTAAAACAGTTAACATCCATTATCTTTGTGGCAGATAGAGCAGTCTACCGAACAGTTATAACAGGCAGTATTTTAAACAAAAATAGGGAGTCTAAAAGAAGAACAGCAAGTACACAAGTATTCCAATCATTTGATTGATTAAGGAAACGGGCAAACAGTTGTTAAGTTAGTGAATGTAGTAATTTCTGATCCAAATGAAGATGGTAAAAACGGGTCTCTGAGAGGTTTTCCAGTGTCCTCTACAAAATGCCCGCCATAGTAGCCTTTCTTACATTTGCTGAAGAGTTCAGGTTGATTGTTATACATGGTTAATGGCGCTTTGTCAGATATGATATCACGGGTCTTAATGTTTAGGTTAAAATCGGTCTTTTTTGCTTGGCTGATGCGGTTTACTTTGTCTGTGTTACATCTTCAGGTCACCTCATATTCTCTTTTAACTCGGTTGCTTGACACCTAGTTAGTTACGTTTTTCTCTTATGGTTTTATCCTTAATCCTGTAACCCACTTCGTTATACGTCCTTTAACCTTCCTAAAAGATCTTCATCCCCTTAAGGTGAAGGAAATGCAACAACTTAAATATTTTTGAAGTAAGGTGATTTGTGGGTTTTTAGTGTTAAAACAGTTTCAGGGTGAATGTGCGACGTAGTCACCCTACGAAGTGGAGAGCGGTGCTCAGTTTTATTAAACCACCAGTGAAAATTGGACTTTCAGATAGTCTCTTCGTAATCGACACGCCTATGTCAGGCTAAGAGTGTTATGGAACAGTCACAAAAAACGTTGATTATACATGATGAGCAAGGTTGAATATACACTATACAGCACCGAAAGAAGTTTTGTTTCAACCGTTTTTTCCAGCCTACCAACCGTATATCAGAATATTCCTTTGAAGTTCACTTGGATATTCTCATTTGTATTGTTTCTCCAGTCGTAGTTAATGAGAGCCGGCAAACCACTTTTACACAAGACACTGTTTATGAAAATCAGAAAGAAGTGTCTCAGAATGTATCTCTATGAGACCCCTGATATGTAGTATCTTCAGTACTGTGCTCATTGCGCCCGGAACATCTGGTTTCACATGTTATTTTGGAACTGAAAAAGAAGTGAATTAGTTTATCTTCAAAATACTTCTTATGAAGAATACATTCGGCATTATTTCTATCGCTTTGACAAAGAGAAGGATTGAGGAGTGTGGTTCAGAAATACAGTGATAATATCGGCCATCACATCCACAGACGCAATCTGTTTGGCTGATGAGTTGGATAATGGCTAGCGTTGGAATTCAGGACGAGCGTTTCGTCCTAGTTGAGACTCGCCAGCTGGAGGTACCTGCATCTTAGAGTTGCTGTTCATTTTGTGATGCTGGTACATCCTGCTGACGAGTCCTAAACAGGACGAAACACGCGTCCTGGCTTCCAATGCCAGCCACTATCCATCTTTGCTTATAAAAGAACCGGTAGTTCGTGTAAATACTACAACCGCCACAACTCAAATGATAATCTAAATTTCTATAACCGATTATATTTCTACTTCATAGGTTCATCGTGTGTCTGTCCGACTGTGTATTGGATATGGACTTTGTATGATCTAGAACACAGTCATTAGTATGAGAATCGGAAGCAGAAATCGGGACGAAGTCACCTGGTTCTCAGTTGTAGGTACATAAATTACTCACATCTGGAGTTTGAACCAATAGTTTTTCCAAAATTATCCACACAATCGTTGGGACTGGTCGAAGAACACTTCCACAGTAATAAATATCATGTGCAGACTCTACACATCTCATAATAGAAAAAAGAATCATTTCCCCTAGTAGTCTACTATGCTCCCCAGCCCATCAAATGTTGAAGCAGCAATGGAATAAATAGAATTTTTCTGCTTTTCCATCAGAACAAGGGCGCCTTGGAGCAGTGTACAGATGTTTCTATCCTTCACCATCCAACCAAGTGACGACAGCATTTGCATCAAGATGAGGGCCATTATTAGCCACCAATACAGTAGAAGCCTTCTGTCGGCTCAAAACCTTTCTTAATGCTCAGAGTGTGGAGTCAGGATTTCCTGATGTTGCGAAAAAACTTCAGGTCGCTTAGAAACAGAATCACTGACAACAAACGCATAGCATTTGTCAAGATGTAAACCACAAGAGTTTGCATGAACTAGCCGCCAGGCCTCAGACGGTACTGACCATGGAGTCCACCTCGTTTGCTGTACGACATAAGTCTGTGTTTATCTCTGGCCACCAACATGTCAGCCCAGCGAAGGACTTAATTTCCTCAACACCTGAAGGTCCACTATGAAGATCTTCAAGGACAGATTTACGCAATGATGCAGGTATAACAACACGATCATTTAAACACAAAGTCCCATCAGGAGTAGTGGATAACTCATACCGCTTAGAAAAAAGACAAGAAATCTAAGTTTCAGATTAACATAGCAACATTTCCGTATGGCACTGAATATACATCCAAAGTATCTACGAGTTTCTCTAATGGCAAAGTTTGCACTAACAAACAGTGTGAAGTATTAACAGGTCTATTTTGCAAAGATTGTCGAGAAATATAGTCAACGTGTTGGATTTGTTTGGCACTTCTGTGCTGAGCCGTATATTCATAGGCACTGAAAGCAATACTCTATCGTTGTACCGTAGCAGTTGAGGAACGTGCTAAATATTTTTCAGGATGATAAACAAACTTTAAAGCTTCACGATAGATAACAACAGTGAATTTCTTTGTGAATGAATATTTATGAAGTCTTTTAACTGCCCAAAACACAGCTCATGCATCCCGCTGAGTTTATGAATAACCTGGTTCAGTAACAGTAAGTTTGCGTGAAACACAAATAACTGGTCTACCTTCCTGCTCCAAAGCTCCACCCGCAAATGATGCTTCAGTAATTAGTACAGAGTGTACACTAAGTGAGTAGGTTTGATGAACAGCATCACTTTAAGAAACTTTAGTATGTAGTGGGATTGAACCATAACCACACAATCCTCAAAGCTGAATATGAGATTACTCGGAAAATAGATATTCAATATTTAACGTGGAGAAATACCTAACGATGGAGAAGGTGCGAACAAGGAATTGAATGAGTTGGAGTTGTTCGGATGGCATGGGTCTGCCATGCAGGCGTGATCCCTGCTGAATATTACCTCATATCCTTTATTCACATTAAATACATCGTTCTTTCTCCACCTCAAGCTTGTTCTTCATCATGTATTGGTAGTTGTTACGATACAGTGAGTTGGTGTAGACGATGATGTGACTTCCACGTAAGATCTTATAGATTAGGCAGTTATATCATGACAAATCTACAATTTTAGGATTAGGTTTATTATTAGAGCAGTACTAATATCACAGTAGACATAATTCTACAAGTATACTTCGTAAGCATGACTTTTTCTTCACTTCGTTTGAATGAATCAGATATCAAAATATTAAATAATCAAATAATACAAGAACAATTAAGAACAAAACGGAACTAGTATTGAAGAATACCCACTAGTGAACTTAGTTCTGTAAGATCTTTCGAAGATGGCGTATTTGTCAATGGAGCTAGTCGTTTTATATCTGGTCTAAAACCATTACCACCAACTAGATATCCAAGATATTCAAAACTAGAAACACCAGACGAACACCTGCTTGGATTCACCGTAATACTCTTTTCAGCTGAACGATGCAATAAAGCGAATCCCCTGACTATGAGTTACTCTGTCAGGACCATGAATAATAAGATCATTTTGGTAAACTTCATCACCTTCACTATCACTGACTGCATTATTCATAACTTTCTGAAATATAGCTGGAGTACAACTTAAACCAAGTAGACGGAAGTTGGATTTGAATAGGCCAAAAGGAATGTTTTCGTCAAGATAGATGAGGATTGATCTAAAGGATTTTGGAGACAGGGTAACCCACACGAGCCACTTCCTCAGATATTGTTGTTCCATTTTCTCAAACTTTTCCTCTTGCAGGCACGTAGCAAACCATCAGCGACAGTTGTAGAATAAATCACATGCTACAGAATAAGATGACAAGCTAGCAAATGAAGAGACATCCATGGACTATCATCGATTGCTGACGGAGTTAGTCATCATTGATTAGAAGTCAAACAGTGAGCGAGTTGACAATTCTCCCTTGGGCTGCTGAAACAGAACTAAGATGTTTTTGATAGATAGGTTAATCGAACCAATGTTCCTAGGGAAGTCGATTCTAGGGGTAAGCTAATTTAACAGCCTAGGTTCATTGGTTAAGTGTTGACCTCAAACAACTAAGCATATATCAAAACAGTAGAGTTCAAGTATTTACTTACTCCCTTATTTTGTATAAACGTTATATTTCTTATTATCTTATATTGAAAGTTGAGAGGCTTTGTTTGTCTTAAGAGGTAATCCTACGCCCCACTATGACTGCGCGAAGATCTAAATAATGACCTACTCTCTACTAGTCTGGTTTCTTCTATCAATAACACGAGGGTTACCTAAAGGCACGAAACGCACAACTAGTCAGAATAGGTTTCTGCGAGTTTTTAAAAACAATAAAAACCACCAGGATTGGTCCAGAATCAAATGTTTATTAAAAAATTTTATCCCATGTTTGAATATATAGAAAAAAATACAGCAGCCGCTATTTACAAATCAGTACATATCCCAAGACATTCAAAAATAACGAAAGATAAACTTACACAGATACAATCACTGAATTAAAGAATTAATTGAAAGACGTAGAGCACTCAAAATACAAACGCACACGAATAATCACTTAAAAAAAGGATGGCAAGAAAAGCTTACACGAATGACTAGTGGAAAAATCTCCAAATACCCCAAAATAAGATCAATGTAACAGCCACCAAAACCCAGAATAATATTTTATCCTGGTGACTTCGCCGTTCAATAAGACGCATAACAGTGTTTGATAAACCAAGAGTATTCAGAACATCCATGATACGGCGTTGTGCCTTCTTTAAAGTCATTCTAAACAGTAAAAAATATAAATTTATCAGTAAACACAAAGTCCGGTACAAATATGATAAAATAAGAAAACATGTTTTCTAAAAAGTGGTCGTATTACTGTACTTTGTCATTTATGCCAGCAGTCGGATGTACCGTACTGGTAGGACATTCACTATGAACTGGCTTCAGCAAACGAACAGGTTCTTACGGACTACCTTAAGAACAAAAGCTTTAAAATTGGACATAGTCAACACCATAAATTTCAGAAGATTGATCTTTTTCTATTAAAACTATATGACTTATTTTACAAAGCCTCTGACCGAGTAAATAACAAGAAGTAGCTGAATCGTAGATTGAACCCAAACAATAACTAGTGGTGGTGAAGATTTTGGCATATACTTTCACTAGTAAGTTTAATTACAAATTAAGTTGAAGCAATCATATGAAACAAGTAATCACTAGAATTGTGTGAAAACGTTCAACAAAGATCCTTAACGACAAAACAACTATTACATTAAGTTTAAAAAATAAAAACATTTTCATCTCAGTGAACACACACATATCCTGGATATTAATAGGCTGAACTTGGCTCAATGAAAACGACCTGATGAAAAACAGGTGGAAAGAAACTTAATTCCCTCATTTGCTAACTGAAAGACTTTCGATTCGCGAACTACCACAGTCAAAACGAAATCAAAAGTAAGGGAGCATATTTAGGTAAACACTGATTATAATTGTTAAGTATTCTATCTTCACATTCACAGCCACAAAACAATGGTTTCAATTAAATTATCTGACAGCATCCGGTCCGATCCCAAACCTGACAGTAGTGACTGAAAAATACGATGAAAACGAAAAGCTAAATGACATTATGCACGAAATAGAATTAAACTCAGTCTTAGATGTTTAGAAAGGATCTAAAGAAAAGAGCTCCTGAGTCAAAAACCAACTAATATTTGGAAGAAGTATACGTATTAGTCTACGTTTGATTTTCTGTTATTAGCGCTTGGGGTCTGTGGAGCTACTTAAACCACGAATACACGTCAAACTTGATAGGACAAGTGAGCAAAACATCGAAAGTTTATATCGTATCACGAGATCCATAAAAACTTACCCTTGTTCTTGTAAAGCACTTAAACTAAATGACCCTGATATCAATATATCGTCAATTTGCTTTCCAACATTAGATAATCTTGAATAATGTTCTAAATCAGGATCCAATCTGATAATGGTTGAGCCAGACAAACCATTATTATTACGTACAGATGCATTAGTAGAAAAATTATGAGATAATAACTCTTCACGTTCTACTACGTGTCGCCATTTTTCATTCCTAGAAAAAACAAAACATTATTTACAAACAGGGATTAAAATCTTAACAACCACCAATTACTGGAAACATAAATTCAGTGAAAAACAACAATGAAATCTTCTACTTACTTTTTTCTATCAATAACTCTTAGATTAGTTTCATACTGTTTACATTCAAAACGTGTTTGATCCAAACTTAAACGTAACTGAGAACGACGTGAATATGGTTCAACAGTTGAAAGTAAAGTTGACAGACGATCACAGTTTGAATTAATCTAAACAACCGATAATAATGAATAAAAGTATTTTTGAAACTAATCGACCGATTTAAATACAGTACCAACAGGAAAAAAGATCACGTAAATATGAAATAGTTACGTCATAGCTAACACATAATAGCACCAAAAATGAGTGTTTGTAACAAATTCGGTATCTTACTCTACTAACTTATATTTTCGATTGTCAGATTATCTGAATTTCACGTTAGTATCGTCGTTAATTGTTTTCGATTGCTTTCATCACTAGAAATCAATGCCTTTTAGGTGCTTATTAAGTTGTCAGCGGAACTCCTCTCTTGTTTTTTTTTCAGATACAGAAATGTTGCTATGCACACAACACTCTACATACAACGTAACTTTAGGTTAGATACAAACCTATCAAGGGTGGGACGTTAAAGTTGAGTTACATGAAAAGTTAGGAATCACATATCTTATACTAAAAATGCTTTGTTGAACACAACTGGATTGCAGTCCAAGTATCCAAATATATTGATGATAGTGGAGTCCCGCCATGTCAAGTATGAGACAGCTATTCACCACAAACAAGGGATGACGATTCTGCAATATCGTAAACTGATTAAATTTAGATATGTACATCAGTGGATATCACCGCAGTGGTCTCAAGGTTAAGCGTTTTGAGCACGATGTTGAAGGTCCTGGGTTCTATTTCTAGATATGGAGTTGTGGACGAGTACTACTGAGAAGTCCAATACTCGGGCGGTATATTTACCCGGAGCTCACAGGTTTTGATGGAGGTTTAGCTAAAATCAATTCTTGATTTATACTGTGAAAACAAAGATGTGGGATCTTAAGTATAATGAGGTTCACACGTTGAAAGGATGATTTTCATCAAATATTCTTCATGTTGCATGCTTCACTTGTGAAGGTATTATTGTCATTCTAAATAAAACCCTAAGCACAAAATCGAAAGTGAACTGCTGAAATCTCAACTGAAATTGATGCAGTTTATGGAGAAACTAGTACTCATTGACTAGATATAGATTCATATAATGAGTCATACTCTTATTGTGAGGGTTAGTGATACAATCCAATTACAGATACGGTAACAGGAGAAACGAACTCTGAACTTGAGACTGAGTGGAATACAGTTGAACGCTACCACCACTCAAGCAATCGGAGAAATAATAATCAACAAGAATCAGGTTAGGAGATTAAAATAATTGGAATAAACAGACAAACGATAAATGACAGCACAAATATTGGCAAGAATCAATCAGATACTGTCAACAGAATAACCAATTGTTAGTCACCTACAAAGGAATTCTAATAGTTAACTACTTTCTAAAGCTTTTACTGACGGTATTGTGCGGGAAGACGAATAAAAGCTTCACCAATGTTAAAAAACGTTAAAATAACAGAAGAATGTAAATAATTAAATTAACTATAAATATGGAATAAAAACTGGATGTTAAAACGATAGATAATTGCTAATGTTTCTGATATTATTCAAGCTTTAATTCCAGTGACCTTGCATTCCCATAGGGAAAACATACAGACAAGTAACCAAGATATAAATCTATAATTATGAGCAAACTAGTTTATATAGTTTCTGAGAATTGATGTTATTTGGGAACCACTGAAAACAAAGAAGTGCTAAACAGATATTCCACTCTAGTACGAAACTTCTCAGTAGTCCACGGTGCTGTCAGTGTCAAATAATGCTTAATGCATCCCGGTCTATAATACGATACATTTTCCATGAGAACCTTTGATACCAACTCCCTAGTCCCTTCCCAGATTTCTTAAATACTCCGATACTTAAGTCCCGAACGGTAACGAAAAGGCACGAATTAAAAAGGGAAGCTTTGTTTCAAGGTTCCTTTATGTCTAGAAAGCAATAGGATTTCTGGGTTTATTGAAAACTTCTGTCAACTTTTGGAAACATCCTAAATTAAGAAACAGAGTAAGTAATCATCTAATCAGAGTTTGAAACATGATCCGTTAATTTCCTAGAAGTTTTCATACCGTAAGCTGATTGGACGGAATGCTTTCAGCTTTTGTGACATAAGCCTATTAAGAACAATAATTTTCAGTATTTTCTTATTTTCTGAATACTTTATCGAGGAATTTTTGTGTGATTCCAAAGAAACATTTATCTAACTAGGGTCTACATATCAGGCAAACTATGAAATTCAGCAATCCCCACAAAGAGCATATGCTGAAACAACTTTAAATATATTATAAAATGAATTAAGTAATAAGTCAAATAAAAAAGTAAAACCATTATAATCGAAATAAATTTAGATAAGGCAGGAGTGACATACTACTAATAAATAATCATATCAACTATTCGGTAAAACGTTTCATACTATATTGAACCCTGTGAAACAAATAAAAGATATTGAAAATAGTATGAATGCTAAATTACTCTTATGGGGACTTCCTTTGAATACCGTAGTTACATAAATATGTAAATTGACATTTCTTCACATAGTATAAAAAGGATCATATAGTGAATAATAATTAGTCATCTTCAGTAATTTATTATGTCCAAAACAAATCTGCAGAAATCGATGCAATTTTGAATATTAAAAAGTAAGTTAAGCACATGTTGGACAAATCAGTCGTTAATTATACATTTCATGGGTAACATTTAATGTTGACTTAGCACACAAATAAAGATCATATCTATCACCCCTTTATGTGTTTTATTTCAATTTATCAGATTCACAATAGTTATATGGTTAAGCGATTTGCACGTTTGAAAGATGGTGTAGGACTTGTATTACACCTATATTACTGATGAGTAACTAGTTTTTGTATTAGATTGGTTAGTCAGAAGCTGTTTCTTATTGATTGGTACATTTTTACCTGTCCAACTATATCGAACTGACTTTATGTTTATCTAAGCTTATAATTAACTGCTGATTTTCATCATGTAGTAAAATCGTTTGGATCAAGAATGGATTAGAACAGATTTAGTTTGAGTTGAAGACTGCTAAGCGATAATGTGGATTGGAAGTGACCTATAGTCAACACTATACTATTTATTTACTGAGTCGAAATCCAATGATTGTCATTTCTAAATCCAGTCGATTTGTGGTGTAGCACGATCTTCATTCAAGTTTACTTTATAATCAAAAAACTACAGGACAAATCGTTGCATCAATAAACAATAAACAACATATCACTGTTTACAAAAAATGAACAAACATTTTGTATATCTTGTTTTAAGCTGTAATACAATTTATTTATTTCATCCAGTTCCAAACTTGACTTTAAACTATGTATCATACTTTCTAATTGACCAATACTTTCTGAGACTGTATGAAGAAGACATTTTGTTTGGGTAGAGAGCTTATCGTAATCCATAACGATCCTATAATCGGAGTTTTTTTTAAAAAGTATGACAAAAAAAACAATCAAGATGATTATTCAACCATTATAAGCAAATATTTGATAAAAAGAAAGACTACTGAAATAACTTGTCGAAAATAATTGAATCTAACAAGATAGTTAACCTCCATTAATTAACTATGAGCTTCATGCTAAGAACATTATGTCTCGTGATCAATTGAACTACAATCTGGATACATTATTGACTGGATATGAAAACGACGGCGTAAACGTAAATTTATATATCCGCTGGATTTCATATAGAACTTGATAATAAATGCAAACAAGCACACAACTTGTGTGCAGTTTAAGTATAATTTTATCTCACTGTCGAAGTGGACACTTGGATTATATAGTATATGGAGACGATTTGGTGATATTTGTACCAAAAGTCCAAACTAAATAAGCTAACGAAACAATTACATCATGCAGTGTATGAAATTACCATAACAAACAGTTGGATTGCAAACATTGTATCCAGTGTACATAATAAATTAACGGCCCTTGCACTGACCTACTTCGTTATTGACGGGGTAGTAACCTTCACACATTGTTCGGAAAGAATTTACTATCTCAGTATTCTGTTTAGTTACAAGGGCTGCTGCTACTAAGATCATGCATAGGCTCATGATTATCCACTGAATATCCAACAAGCCCCATGAGCCGTAACAACAGATGGAAATGACACACCATAGTTTCAGACAGAAGCTACTTCATCTATTGTTCCTGAGAGCTATCCATCAAAATGCGTTGAGGCTGATGGATCGCCCGACTTCCGCGTTTTCTCATGGTTGAGGTTACCAACCAATCACACAATTTCTTTAATGGATACGTCAATCGCTTCAAATGGTCTTGTCATCCCATTTCACCTTTTCAGACTAATTGAATCCATGGTTTTCTTACTATCCTCCCTCCAATTTACTGGATAGCTATCACTTGAGCATTGTATTGCTTTCTTTCACAGTGCAACCTGTTTTATGCATACATCAGATTTGTATACAATCTTTTGATAGGGCTAAATCAAGCTGGTCAAAACAGTTACATGTAACGCCTGGTGGGAACAATTTAGAGTAATCGTCAAAGAGTAACATGCAGCACGACTGGCCTTGATACCCCGAATGCACTTTTTAGAGCCTGTATATTAAGGCTAGCACGCTTTCTGATGGTCTTCTATCTACTAAAGTTCGGCGATTGTACCGCGACTGGAATTGCACCGATTAAGGACGTCAATGTGGCTCCGGATAGCATGAAAGCATACAGCACATCTTACAACATTATACGGTGGCAATTAATGGTTTTGACTTTTGGTGACTGAGTTTAAGGTTCAAACCCCTCTCCACCTACTTCGGTATGGGGATTCGCATAGTATCATTAAACCCTACACTTAGAGTACGACTCATGGCTAAGTACCTGGTGAATGGTTTAATTTTAATCTATAAATAACATTTTGTACCGAAACGTTGTCTAATGCTGTTGACGTAACCTGATTACATCTAAACGAGGTAAGGAATAGGTGCGAAAAAATTCCTATTCAACATATCAATATACTATTTTACTAGAATAAAAATGGGGTATTTATTTATAAACTGTTCAAGTCAGTCATGATAGCGAATACACTATTGTTAATTAAATTTGCTCTGAAATCATTAGAAGCTTGTAATTTATGTTTACAACTGATGTTACACAAATTTTGAAAATATTCATGTAGATAAATTAGTATATTTTCCCATTCAACAAACAACAATCCAGTCAATGTAATAAAAGCAAAACAATCGAAAGTTCTTCTCTCTTTTTATTGAAATACATATTAAATCAATATTACTAAAAGAAGAAACAGGTTGACTTTAATCTTCTTAAATTGTTTACTAATTGATATACAGGTCTATCGATCCACTTCCCCAAATACAATATCCAAAGTACCTAAACCATTGCGGTTATTAAATGGAAGCATAAAAAAGTAAGTAAATAAATAAACACTGTAAGTTAATTATCAATGAATTTAAATGTTGAAGTTTAGATTTCACTAAATTTTTTTTGGAAATCACATCACTTATCTAATTCACACAAATTTATATGATATATCATTTTGTAAATTCACAGTTATGTAAATTCCAATTTCTTTTCTACAAATACTTCGATTCAATAGAATTCTATTTACTCATTTCATCCATATATATATATATATATATATATATATATATACAACAAGAGTAGGAGTAACTTGTCGAAATATTGTATTCTAAAAATTCCACATTGTACTAAACATACAGTATTGAATAGTCACTAATATGATTAACATTAGTTATAACTGGACGGGTATTGGAAAAAATCGATCATTCGGAACTGTCTTATCTGAAGGAAACTTTTAGAATTTTTCCCCTTAATTATCAAATAATTAATTTGGACTCAAGGTCGAGGAAAGAGAAAGACCAAAGTATAGCGAAGCAAAACGAGTTCGGTTGGCATCGGCTTAAGGTAAACGGTGTGGGTCAGAAATGTAATTTGTTAGATTATAGATGCTAAGCTACAAACGGAACAGGCACCATATAAAGAAAATTGCGGATGGAATTCCGAACGATGAATTCAACAATTGGTACTGGTCAGCGATGTCAAGCTATTATTATTATTATGCATCGAATATAAGCTAACTGTTATATCCCGACAAGAATTATGAATGGTAACTTTTGAGAACTATTTATGGACCAATGCGATATATTTGTATAATTTTTAAGTAGCTAAACTATGCATATTCATGTTCCTCTTATTATAAGCTTTATTTTAACCCACAGACTATAATTACGCGATTTACCGTTCTTGAGTTCCGCCGAGTCATTTAATTACAGTCTCCCACATTCACAACCACTTTTGCTTAGATCTTGTACAAATGTTATTTTCCATTTTATGGTACGATGTGGTCTGTTTGGTTTTTATATAAACCCAGTATATTTGAAATACATGATTAATATCGCAGAGGCTGAGGTTGTTGTTCTGAACTCAACAAGTAGATCTAGGCAGTAAGAAGGACCGATAAGGACGATAGACTGCTTGTATGGGTTTACGTGTCATTGGTCTCAAATTGGTGGTATAATTACATCATATATTAATAGGGCAAAAGGCCACAATTTATAACACCAACCATAAATTTTATAGTTTAAACAAGATGAGATACCTACCAAAAATAAATAGTAAACAGTGAATATTGAAATATCAATAAAATGGAGGGATTTCATAAATATGTATTCCATCTATACAAAAGGCAATCCTTTTGTACAAACAAGCCAAAAATATTCAAGGCTGTATATTAGAAATTAAATCAATATACTGAGATAAAAGAGAATATTTGTGGTTCAACATGAGGATGTTGATAGTGTTATGATCACTAAACCATCCAGCTCACAAAACGCAACACATTCAAAATCAACATATGTACACTACGGAACGAATCAAGAGAACCCATGGAATATATATTTAAACTGGACATAACACCTCGACCTAATGACTTCAGTAAGTGAACGTAGTTACAGACTGTTAGGACGCAAGTTGATCACAAATAACGTCGAGGGGAAATAAGCGAAGTAATGATACTGATACATTTTGTTTTCTTCGGAAGATTTGTTTTATAAATCAATTATTTGTTTTATTTGCTAATACATATATTCTTTTGATAGGAAAAAATGATAATTGGAACCAGTAGTATATAGCTGAAAGAAGCAAGTGAACACCGAAACCATTACATTTATTGATCCAACTCACACCAACAAGATTAAAATCATCATAGGGTTTGTCTTCAAAAGGGTAGTATTTAGACTGTTTATAGGAAAGAAATGTACAGAGTTAGATTTAACTATTGTGTTCAATTCTAAACGTCAATATCATTATCTGACGCTTTCTGGAGTCATTTATTGTTTTTAATTCAATATATTATTTAAATATGATTAAGTAGTCTAAGCTATTTAGAAAAGAATGGCTTTTGATTAACTGATCGCTAATTCAGCTTAGACATAATTGAATGGTAAAAGTAATGACTAGTTTCTGATACGAAACGGTCGGAAACAAAGAACAATTAAATCTTAAAGAATGATTTTCTGAGATCAAAGGATAACAAAAGTCGGATGATGAACTATTTATCAGAGATAACTTGTGGTCATTATTGACGTTAATGCAAGTTCCTGTTAAATCTTTTTTAAATAAATATTACGGCAAATAGAAATATAACATGAGCTCCACGAATTACATCTATTACTCATCTCGTCCTCTATCTTTTAATATTAAAATGAGCATTTCGTTTTGTTTCCCTCTTTCATAATTTTACTTTTATACTTCGCATGGCATAATTTCTTAGTAAATATCCACTATGTACACAGTTCTAGAATTCCTAAATGTATGTCGAATGTTTCAGTAATGCTAAGAAAATTTAAGCTCACTGTAGTTGACAGGTTTTTGTTCACCTTGTTAATGACTTTCAATGTCGAGTCTGTTTGCCTAAACGACCTGTGATAGAAATAACTCAGCAAAAGTGGATATCCACCGATATTTATTGATACACATATAACATTCAAAGAAAAATACAAATTCCATAGGAAACCTCATAATTAAGCACCTTGTGAACATGGATCAATTCAACCAAAACAAACTAAGAGTTCAAAATCATCTAAAGGATAAACAGAAACTCATCCTTTGAAAAATGTTCATTTTAATTACTTATATTAAAAATTCTAAAACATTAAATATAAAATATCCATAAAATTATTAACAATATCAAGATTAAACACAATGAATTGTTACCTATAACTGCGACTACATCGGGTAACATAAAACCCCGACAAAGTTTATCTATTGCCGCCAAGTGAGCAAAGCCTGGAGCTTTAATTTTGCATCTGTATGGTTTGTTTGTACCATCGGAGACTAAATAAACTCCAAATTCACCTTTCGGAGCTTCAATAGCAGTATACGTCGATCCAGGTGGTACCTTGATGGAAGTTGAAAAACATTGCTGATTAAATTTTGAAAGTAAAATTAAGACAAATCATAGGGAAATTTTAATAAATCGAGCAAAATGTTTCTAAAATAAATTCTTTAAACATGTAACCGAGAACTATGAGAAACCTTTATACTAATAATAATTCCGTCCTCATCAGGGAATAGCCTATATCGAGATCCCGGAGTTCTAGTGGAAAGTCGTGAAAAATGTTCAGCCATGTCAAGTGGAAGACAATTATCCACCTCAGTCAATGAAAGATGGTCGTGAAACATCCTGCATTGACTGTAGTTAGACATGTACATCATTGGATTTCGTCTAAGTGGTTAAGAGACGAAGCGCTCGCTTGTCAAACTGAAGGGCGATCCTTAGTGGTGTGATAGATGCACACTGTCGAAGAGTCCCATGCTAGGACAAAATGGTCGTTCAGTGCTTTCTAGTTTCCAATAGTGGTTAAGCTAAGGTCAGCTCGTGATTAAAACAATGAAAACTTAACAATCCCCACGAAACCACTATAGACAGTCAGTCAGCTATAACGTAGGACCAGGACCAGGTACACATATGCATCGGTCCAAGTTGTCATACCTCATTAGCACAAGATGAACACCAAATTCATAGAAGCATTTACTATAAAAACAAACAAAAGTATTTTTAAAAATTAAGAAAACACACACCAAGTAACCTTCTGAGAATAATTTGAAATGATGAATAAGAGCTTCCATAGAACTTTTCATTTCAGCACGTTTAGGTGGACAAATTTTGGCGTCATCCACTTTGATCTCACCTTTGGGCATTTTATTAAGGCATTGTTCTATAATACGCAATGATTGACGCATTTCTTCCATACGTACTATAAATCTTAATTGTTAAATAAGAAAACACTAGTGATTAGATTATTTCAAAAAGAAATCCATATACTAAAATTATTGCCCAGGAAAATGTACACTCATTGCGTCTGATCTGTAACCACATACATAGAATAGAACAATTGACAGTTGAAAGTAGTGACTATAGTGAGACCATAATTTATGAAAGACCTGTGGGAGACATCAAAATGACCGTGAGAAAACTCACCAACCTACTCGGTTCTAAAGAGAGTTGTAAATTAGTATGGGAAATCAAAATCGGGATTTAGAGCTAAAAGTTATGGTTAGGAATAAGAGTACGAGTCAATAATACGAAATGATATCATCTATAATTCCAAAATGATATTTAACCATATGGATTAATGAATATTGCGCCAAAACCCAAAACTCACTATCTTAAAACTTATTAGTTCATCCATAAATTATGGTCTCGCCTTGATTATCTCTTTTATTCACACACAGACCTACATTCATTATAATGCACTTAACAAAGAGGAAAAGTCTGAGCTTGGTCAATTAGTCATACAATACCTCAAAATCTGCTGCGAATGATATGCTGATTCAAATTGTCACAATCTCACATTTGTACACTAAGAAAGGAAATAGTAGTAATATACAATAAAGTGGGGAATTTAAGTCTGAACAATATATTTTAAAAAGTTCATATGAGATGGGAAAACAAAAAGTATGGAGTGAACCTAAATTCCAAATTTGTATTCCAATTTGTATGTCTAAATGTCAAGGAAAGAATTTTACAATGCAATTTAACTGTCCACTTTTGATCCGTGAACGTCAATTTTGAAATCGTCCAGTGAAAATTCTGTTTGCTTATTTATTAGTTTATTAATAAAAACAAAGACGATTGATGAAATGAACAACAAAAAAAAGAGTAAAAAGAGAAAACCGATGTAAATATTGACAGACATAATTTAAATAAAAATATAACTAAAATAGAAATCATGTCTCTTAAACATAGGTTTCCTAATTATGAAGAATGCAAAAAGAAATCTACAACAGGATAACTACTGGGTATCTTTAATGTGATTTGTGGTTTGTGTGTAGGTTGTATCCATCTTTTTGACCTTACGATTATAGGTCCACCGCAAAAGGTTTTTGAAGACTAGCATTAATTTAACAGATCAGGATCTCTTGATAGGTAGTCTTAAACCTTTAGGTTAAACAGTGTGATATGACTAAGTTGAAATTATATAACAACAACAGTATTTAAGAGTACGGTAACAAAAACTGCTTTACCAATGTTTTCGAGTACCGCATCATTTTGTTAGGGGCAATATGATGGGTAGGGGTCTTAATTAATTGACATATCAGTGACTAACAAAGCAGATAACCATTAATTCCGGTTTGAGAAAGACAGCTCACTAGACATATTGACTAGAATTATATATCTTAGTTTAGAAAATTATTTTATAAATAGTAAACCGTTTTCCATCAACTTGATTACGTTATGAGAAAATAATTCCAACAAAAAATAAATTCAAGAATACATCACGCTAATATATTTAAGAATTGTCAAGAAAATTTATACACTGTAGACAGTAAGTAACTAACCGATCATAGCAGTCACCATGAACACCAACTGGTACATCAAAATCCATATCTTCATAGGCATCATAAGGTTGTGTTTTACGTAAATCCCATTTAATCCCACTCCCACGAAGCATAACCCCTGAGAATCCCAAATCTATAGCATCTTCAGCGCTAACAATACCAACATCTTTAGTACGGGTAATCCAAATGGGATTATCAAACAATAAATCGCTGATCTGATCAATCAAATCAAATACAAACAAATAATGATGGGGATTTTATAGTTCAAGTGGATACTTTTTGTGGCGATACATTCAGTGGGCCAGATAGTTTAATTGTGGAGCCCATTACATAAATTAGGCGCATGTAATGTTGTCCATAATGACAATGAAAGCTTCACAATTAAGCCATATAGCTCAAAGAACGCAATACTACCAAAACAAATCAATAGATTCAGGTGACAACTGGAATATAATTAACGATAAAACGTTCATAGTACATAGTGAATTCATATTCTGTCCTTCATTCTTCAGTTCTATACAAGATACGAAGGGATCGGGACTGAATAGTACAGCGTAAACAAATTAATTATAAACTAGCCTCAGAGAGATGATCGATTTTGTTTGTCAGTTCTAGGGGCTCCTCTCTAAATTCAAATTAAAAATCAACTTCTACGTGTGTTTCATTGTAAGCATATTAGAAATTACATCAATAAACTAATAAAACCACTGAATAATTTGACAAAAACCTAGCGAATGGAGCTATTAAATACTCAAAATAAGAAGTTTGGTGATATGCGTGCCGATAATATTGTACTTTGCAATGTAAATTATGGTAGAAATTCATTAAAAATGTTTAGGAAGATCTATTTGAATCACGCATCCAGGAAGCTTTTCATTTAGAATTAAAAGTTTGACAAAGAAATGGGAGAAAAATATGAGTGCTAGGAGATTTATTCTATCATATACTAAAACTTGAGGCCCAGACCAGTTGTATTTAAAACTATCCTCCTAAATGCTATGGCTACGTGCCCTTGGGGTGGATACTAACCCATCACTCCAGGTGTAGCAGTGTTTATATCCAGTACCCTGAGACCAATTACTACTTATTTACCACCATCACCTCTCTGTTTACTTTGTTTCTGATGTTCATAATTGATTATGGTTACGATGTGGACTGTGTTGCTTTGTATTTGAACTAATTCATCTGAATGTCGTTTGCATCCACCTGAATTTACTGTTCGCCTATCGATTAGTTGCAACAAAATTCTAGAACTTCTTACTGTATTATCTTGATTTATCGAACCCCAGTATTACAGTAGACGAGACAGAACAGTCAGTCAGTAACAACGTAGAACTTCGTACGTACGTACATCAGTTCGAGTTGCCACACCACATTAGCACAGAGATGCAGTGTCGATTCAAATCCCGTAGTGGTAGAGGTAGTAAGAGTATAAGCAGTAATCGGGAAGATTAGTGTTTGGAGATGTTATTTAAAGAGTATAATACAGTGAAATAAATTTGGGAAGAGAAAAAAAAGAGACAAGGAGGAATAAGGAGATCAAAATTTGGGAGAACACAAAGAGTGGATGCACCTGCGCCATTGCAAACGATTTTGAGCCATGTCATTCAGGGTCTCTAACCATCGGTTGCTATCATCTCGCGGTCCCCAACCAGGTAGTCTACACCTACCAACATGACTCAGTCCACTTGTCAGTGACTTCATGGACTTGTGCCATGTTTTGGTCTGGCCGCCCCTAGCTTTCTTCCAACCTACTCCTATACCACTGAACATAGCACGTCGAGGCAGTCGGTCGTTGGGCATACGTAACACGTGTCCCAGCCATCTCAACTGATGAAGTTTCACTACTTCATCAATTGATTTGCCATCCTTACCTAGTACCCGTTTCCTAACAACTGCATTACTTACTCGATGGTCCCACGATATACGAGCAATATTTCGAAGACACCTATGATCAAATACTAGTAACCTACGAATATCCTCTACTCTTACCGGCCATGTTTCACTGCCATAAAGTAGGACGGAACGAACTGCTGCGCAGTAAACCCGTCCTTTGGTTGATAGACGGATATCTCGCCTACGCCATAAATGACGCAAGTTGGCAAAAGCTAGTCGAGCCTTCTGTATCCGTGCTGAGATTTCGTCACACACCAGACCACAAGGGCTGATGAGACTTCCAAGATAAGTGAAGCGGTCGACACACTCAACTACTTCACTCCCTATCATTAGTTCGGGTGTCGATGTAACCCAATCCTGAAGCAACATTTTGCATTTCGAGGGGGAGAATCGCATCCCGAACATGCTTGCATTGTTGCTTAGAGTGGTCAGAAGACTCTGCATTTTGTCAGCGTCTTCACCAAATAAAACTATGTCATCAGCATATTCTAAGTCAACAAGTGAACCTCCCGGTAGAAGTTCAACCCCTGGAAATTTAGATGAGGAGAGTGTTATCTCTAAAAGTACGTCAATGACAAAGTTGAACAAGAATGGGGAGAGTGGACAGCCCTGACGAACACCACTTGAGGTAATCAATTCTGATGACAGTTCGCCATAAGCTCTCACTCTACCAGTTGTGTTCGAGTAGAGAGCCTTTATAAGGTTAATGTACTTCTTTGGTACTCCTTTCAGTGACAAACACTGCCATAGAACCTCACGATCAACAGAGTCGAATGCCGCCTTAAGGTCGAGAAATACTACCATTGTGGGGCGTCTGAATGTGTGTCTGTGTTCTAGAACCTGACGTAGTGTGAATATCTGATCTATACAACCACGTCCAGGTCGAAAACCAGCCTGGTTTTCTCTAGTCTGCTCTTCACGAGCTTTGGTTAGGCGTCGAAGTATTATTGAAGCTAATATTTTAGACACTATATTAGTCAAACTGATTCCTCTGTGATTGTCACAAGAGGACTTTTGTCCTTTCTTATAGACTGGCACAATCAGTGATTGAGACCAGTCAGATGGGATTACGTCCAGTTCCCAAATTCTACCTAAGACCTCAGTTAATCTCATTGCTAATACTGGACCACCATCCTTAAAAATCTCAGGAGTAAACCTGTCAGGGCCTGCTGCTCTCCCTCGTTTCAGATTTCCTATGGCTTTTTCAACTTCGTAAAGAGACGGAGGACCTACATTAACTTGCCATTCAGGTTGACTGGAGATCGTGGGAAACCGAAGTGTGGCTGAAGGCCAGTTGAACTGATCCCTAAAGTGTTCTGCCCATCGATCCAATCTCCTGGATTGAGAATGAATAATATGTCCATCTTTCTCTGAGATTGTTTCGCTAACGGTCGGGTTCCTAATTCCGGTTTCCTTAACGAGTCTGAACAATTGTCTGCTATTACCTATTGCCGCTGCCTTTTCCATCTCTCTTGCTTTCGCTACCCACCACTGTTCGCGATCATTGCGTAGACTTCTTGTCAGCTTGCGCTTAAGCTGACTCCGCTCTTCATTATGTTCAGAGCCAGGTGGAATGAGTTTCCGAGCATCTATCAGTGCGATAGATGCTGCTGAGATCCAGTGTTGCTCCCTAACCTTCTGGTTTACCTTACTAGCAGATATCACTGCTGTTTCCACAGCTTTTCGGATATCATTCCATGCTGCATCGGGGTGGGCATCACATACATGGCTGCCTAACTGTTTTCCTAGTTGTTCCTGAAATATACTCTTAGCTTGACTATCATTAAGTAGGGCCCTAAGAGGTTTCCTTGCAGCGTCTTTCCTACGTCCAGTAAGACGCAAGCAAATACGCGCTCGCACTAGAGCATGATCTGAATCTAGGCATGTGCTCCAGAATGAGCGACAGTCTTCTATCGAGCCCCTCCATCGGTGGCTGATAGCGATGTGATCTATTTGGGTCCAACGTTGGGACGAATTAGGGGGTCGCCATGTTAAAAGATGTTTTTCCTTATGCTTAAAGTTAGTATTTGCAAGGAACAGGCGGTTATCTGAGCATAGCTGCAACAGACGGTCGCCATTATCTGTTCTTTGAGCCACGACACCATAAGATCCACCTAGGTGTCTTTCCCTATCGCTTAGTTTACCTACTTGAGCATTAAAGTCACCGGCCACTATTACTACATCCGAGCGCCTAGCTTTTCGGAGAAGGTCGGAAAGCTTTCTGTAAAACTCATCTTTTACATCATCTGAGCTGCAGTCAGTGGGAGAATAGGCAGAGACGACGAAGAGGCAACGACGAGTGTCCCTATCTTTCCGGATTCTTACTGTTCCGTTCAGTCGGACAGCGCACAAACGACTGTCTACTGGGATCCACTCTAAGAGAGCTAGTTCTGCCCTAGGACTCAATGCTATACCTACGCCGGCGAGGCCACGGGAAGCAGAATCAGGGCTTCCAGATACACGAAGCGTAAATCGAGTCGGTTCTTTATTTTGGCATGGTGAGGTCAAATGAATGACGCTACTCGGATCCTGTATGCGCGTTTCGGAGACGCAGCACACATCGATGGCGCGAGATTCTAAAGTTTTAGCTAAGGAAGCCTGCTGTCCTATTTGGCAAAGTGTTCGTACGTTAAAAGCTCCTACGTGTAGTTTAGAGCGTGGTTTCAGGAGACCAGGAATGGCGTTCCACGTACTCGAATCGTTTGCCCTAGCGGTGCGAGGTGATAAAGAGACGTGAGGAGGGTTAGTCATGGAGATAAGAGAGGTATTAGGAGGTGTAGGAAGGATTTGAATGTGACCAACTTGGTCTCTTGTGCTGTTACGGGTATGAGGGCTGATGTCACTTCCCGGCTGCCCACACCGTGGAAGGGTATTTCTTGAGGAACCTGAAAAGGAAATTGGATTAGTGTTGGTCTTGACGACCTGGGAGCGTGACCGCAGAGCCCAAGGGACAACTGCTTGAGGCCGGTCGCGCACGGCCTTTTTGTGGAAGGTTTTTGACGTGTTAGCTCCGTTCTTCAAAGGGCCTTACCGCCGGAGACGGAAATCCGTGAGGTAAGGTGAGGTGTGACATTTTTAGGGTCGACCTTTTCTAACCCCACCCCTCCTTGTGGGAAGGCAGCATCGCTGTCATGCTGGTTGTCCGAGGGAAACACCTTACTGCTGTCACACCCCTCTACAGTCAGCAGTACGACTTCGCCCTCAGACCTTGAGTTGCTGCTTTTAGTCTTACCGTTCTCCAATCGACCTGCCTGGCATGGTAGAACCTACAGGAACATATGTTCCAGCCAATATAGCTCGGTTGGGTCATCACGATAGGCAAGCCCGACCACCGCGTCAAGGTAGCAGCTTCGGTCGGGCGAGACACAACAAGCTACGTAAAGACGATAAGCGAAGTCACATTTCAACAACTCATCATCTGATTATGACCAAAATGTAGATTTGATTAGTTTATTATTGTTCCGAGTTTGAAAAAGATGTTTTCTGTATTTATTTGGGGGAAAGTATGAGCATACTATTAGTGATGCACAGCGGCACAACGAAATTCGGCGATCATTTTCAAAAATACCTGACAAACTATGATCTATCTATATAAACCGATACACTGATATCAGTTGTAGTTAGATATGAGTGCATTTTTATCGATGTTTTAGACTGAACACAAAAAACAGAAATTTTAAAAAACAATTTTAATTAGAGACCGCTAATCTCTTAACATTTTACTATTCGATGCTCTTGTTCACAAGAACATCAATACTTTGAATGACTCGTCGCTATTTATAAAAATCAGAATACCAACACAATAATGAACGTAACATGAAAGTTATCATCAACAGAACTAGCACTACGCCCCAGTGACTCTTAACTCAGAACACGACTACCAAGGAAAAGTTTCAAAAAGTTTTTTATACAACCGACGTTAAAAGAGGAAAAATAATGTGTACTTATAGTTTTTAGTGTCTCTGAGGAATAAAAATCCAGGCTTCAAGTTTCATGGCGCTTAATTTATTCGTACGTAAATCTTTAAAGTTAGAAGTGGAAATTATTATTTGTTGATTCGGGTTGAAATTTCGGTAAGCAACCTATTTCCAAACAATACTTACATGGTAAAAGCACTCCTTACGACAAATAGGTCCGAACAATTTCCAATAGTTAACTTTTTACCCAATCAACAGTGTATTAAGTCAGTGTGTACGCAAAACGTTCACACAACTATAGATGAATACGTACTGGTTTTTACAGGAACATTCAATAGGACAATGAATACAACTTACTGACCAGAATGAAACCAAATATCGTATTTCCTGTTTTTGGAGTCGATAGAAAACGCTCAGTAATAAGACCACTGATATTCTACAAGTGGAATGTGCAAATTCATCATACTGGACAGGTGAGATTATTCAAGAAGTGGGGGACTTGAAGTTAGCTGAAATTAGACGGAAACTGACGGTTTTAGAAAGCCAATATCGCGGAAGATCATCTTGTTATGTCTTAAAAATAATCTTATTATCGATGAACAAACCTACACGAACATGCAACCATAAAGCCCAAGCGACATCTGCCTGAGGAAGGTTACATTCAATATTTCCGTCCAAAAATCGCATGAATATAGTCTACTCATAATTTTGAAAGCCTTACCTGCAGCACCAAAATTATGTCAAGTAACAGGTGACTAACTTTAGAACAGATAAGTAAAGCCAAGAACAAAAGGAACGAATGAAATAGGAGTGAATAATACGTCAAATCAAGATGGCATACAACTTACTTCATCCAACCGCTGGGGAATTTTTGTATGAACTGATAAATATCATCCATCAGTCCCAGTGGCATATCTAAATAAACACCTCCTGGACGAATATAAGCAGCGTGCATACGAGCACCAGACACACGTTCATAGAATTCAAACATTTTTTCACGTTCTTCAAACAACCAGAAGATTGGAGTTATAGCTCCAATATCCAGAACAGTGGAACCAACAGCTAAACAGTGATTCAATATTCTAGTTATTTCAGCATAAAGAGCTAGATTAAAAAAAGAGAACAAACCTGTGTTTTATAACACTTGCCTATCTATTTCACTTCTATATAATAAGAATAGTGAATTAATTGATAAATCAATTAATAAATAACCTTTGAGAGAATTGTATAATAAAGCATCAAAAGTAAACAAAACCGGTATGGTTAGAATTAGACCTACAAACCTATACTTGTAAAGCGGGACAAGAAATGACAAAATGAGAAGTATGCTACATCCAACAACATACCAAAGTCATAAGCACTATAGCTTTGAACTATCACACACATCATCATCTTGAACGATTACTGTGAGGTTTTCCATGACCTAAATATGCTTCACGGAAAATCATATAGAAAAGATATGACCGTGATTATACGAGATGAGTACAATACTGCTTTGCATTAAGAAAAGGAAAACCAAGACATGAACAAGAAATATAACCGGTAGAATATCCATATAATTATGTAATTGATTCAGATAACCGAACTTATAGTTTGACCTAGAAGTACGAGGGTTTGTGTATATACACTTCTTAACTGAGCATTTATTATAAAAAATAATCAAAATTCAGATGTTGCTGTACAGTGGAATCAATTTTACAAAACAATTATGGCTCATTATAATCCCAAGATGATCGTACATTCTACTTCGGATACACCGAACACAATAAAAACTTCATACTATTTCACCAAGGATCATCTGATGCAAACAGTAGACGATTAATCACGGGCGTCTAATAGATGCAAACACTTAACAACCAAAAAAACTGCAGTGCTTACAAACTACCATACTTTTATCATAAAAATGACAATTTTGATGGAGTTTTGTTCTCTGAGCTGGATGGTTTGGTCATGGACCTTTCATCGTTCTTCTGAACGACATCATCGGCACAAACTTCCGGTAGAAGCGAAGTGTTCGAATTTCTCCACACGTAGTTCACGGTTTTTCCTGCAGATCTCGATGTTGGCTGGAAATGACAATTTCAGCACAGAATGAAAAACAATAAACTATATATATATATATATATATATATATATATATATATATATATATATATATATATATATATATTCAACTAACTTCGTATATACTTTGCACGGGGAGGTACTTCAATATTGAGTAGCTTCTCCACGGCCAATGCATAACACTGTTCGTTACACATCATGGAGGCATAATCCAGTCGGTCAAAGTAAGGCAAAGCCTGAGTAAGAAAACAGAAACAGTGGCTACATTCCAACAAATTTTCGATCTAATAAATAGGACTATGTTATTTACCATAATACTATCAAATACTCTTAGCTATGTACACAGTTCACAATCTATAAAAATACCTTAGAATTTTTCCGAGTTTTGCATTATTATGATCATGTTTATATGCCTATTCAGTAAATAACTCCGGCTGCAACCCTTCTAGAGTTACTGACGGTCCAAATTCTAAATAAAGGACTATGCATGAGGTCCAAAACCCCATCTCGTAGAAAACAACCTTGCTAAAAAACGCTGACCAGAATAAACAAATCAAACCATTTAAATTCTTATCTGTGAGTTGAACGACATTCATTTAGAAGAATTATGATACATCATGGTGAAAGCTGACATTTTGGAAATCACGAAGTCGATGCCTCTTCTAACAACCAGAGCAACAATTAACATAGGTACATGAAATGTCCTGACAATATGGGTGACCAAGAGGGTCAATCAAATAACTGCGCAAATGAGAATATACAACTCGGTGGTTATCGGAATAGGTGAAATCAATCGGACCCAAGCTGAACAGATATTAGATTCGAAAGATGCTGTTGTACACTGGTCGTAAAGAAGAAAATGCTTCGCATACACAAGGAGTTGATAGTTTCATATCACTACCTAATAGTGACCACACTAAGAATTCAGGCTTATTCTCAATAAGTTTCAGACCTTACAAGATCTACTAGAAGTAGAGGAAACCAATATGGAGAACAACCAGAAAGGTATTAAAGAAGCAATATCTTCCATATGTCAGGGGGTGTTTGGCTTAAGAGGGCACCAGCATAAACAACGGATCTCTGTATACAGACCAGGTAAGACTCAAAAAAGGAAAACTAAGAAGCAGTCAACAACAGTCAAACAATAGAATGGAAAGTTGAAGTACAGGCCCAACAAACACAAGCAAACAAATGAATAAAGAAGAGCATGTGAGATGACTATTGGAACTACGTGGAAGAACTAGGAGGAAGAACAATAATTAACAGACTGGAAAGAGTGATGCCTCATTAATATCTCAAAACAAGATCTTAGTAAATGTGAAAAATACAGTGATTACACTACCAATAGTAGCAGACAAACTTTTCGAGTTTTTCTTAACCGAAGGAAAGATTTAGTTGACTCTTACCTTAAAGACCAGCAAGCTTTTGTAAGAACCAGTTATATAATGATCGAACCGCAACAGTGAAAATAATTTTAGAACAATCAATCGAAATGAACCAACCACTATAAATCAAAACCCTCAATTATCAGAAAGCATTCGTAAACGTGGATATGAAAACCGTATGGACTTTTTCGATACTATAGAGTACCTGGGAAAATTATCATCATTCTGTCAGCTGTTGACTAGATTATGAAGACGTAATCGGCTCAGGAAAAAAGGAGAGTGAAATTGATACCTTGGATACAGCTAGATGACTTAAACTTTGCAGAAGACAGCCTTGATTTCGCATACACATAAACAAATGCAGATGAAAACAGCCAATGCAGCAGCAAATTTTGTAGAAATAAACCTCAACAATTATAAAAGGAAAAGTAAGATTCGAAAGTACAACACAGCACCAAACAAGTTTCAATTAGAGGCGAAACTGTAGAAGAAATGAAAGTCTCTACGTAACTGAGCTGTATCATTGATAAACGAGGAAGATCTGGTGCAGATATCAAATCACAACTTACCAAACAAGATAATCATTCCTACAATCGAAGAATATCTGGAACTCAAAACAACTGTCACCCAAAACTAAAGCCATAATTTTCAACACTGACGTTAAAACAGTTACATTGTACGGAGCTGAAACTTGAACAACTACCACCACTAATGACCAAAAACGTACGAATATTTGTAAATAGCTCTCTACTCAAAATACCTGAGATCCGTTGGTCAGAAACAACCTACAATAACCCACTCCAGCAGAGAATAAACCAGCTACCAGCTGAAAATCAAATTAGGAAGAGATACTCTAGGTGGATAAGACACACTACCGAAACCATTAAAATGCATCATAAGGCAGTACGTAACTTGGAATTTTTGCGGGAGAGGCAAAAGAATCAAGTCAAAAACCACATGGCGCCGAGAATCTGAGGCATAAAGACCACGAAGAGCACTTACCACCAACTGAAAAAGGGCCCAGAGCAGTGTTGCTTGGAGAACCCTTTATTAGCACTCTATGCCTCAAAAGGGATAGCAAGCTTAAGCTCTAAGTTCAGAGCTTAAAATGAGCTAAATAGCGGACGGAATTAAATTTCAATACTTACTTGAGTGTATGTTTTGTATTCAATCAACTTTTCTGTACCACGATGTAGCAGACCGATATGTGGATCAAGACGAATAATTTTCTAAAATAAGAATGAACCACCATGATTACCAATACAGCAGACAAAATTGAAGAATCAAGAAATGAAATAACAATTATTTTTTATTACTGATCTGGCAATCAGAAAATGGGCAAATATAGCAGTTGGTATCGCTGGTACTAGGCATATTTTAGGTTCTAACCCATGTAATTCATTTAAACAAACATACAACAGGTAGAAAGTCCGCAATGATGATTACTCAGACCTAAAAAAAAGCATCAAACGACGATAGCTATGACTAAACACCAAAACGATCAGCAAAAAAAGGAGTTTCACGAACGCTATCAGTAGGATTTTAAGAATGCATAGTCCTAATGGCAACACTAAAGACTTCTGAAACTTTTCAAACTGCCATTTGAAAACACAGATCGCGACTGCTATGAATGACATAAACAACTAGACTCCTAAAAAAAGACCGTTTATTTATAAGACAGCCATCAAAACATTCTTCATGTAACCTACTTACAAAATTAGTTTATAACGTGCCAAAAGATGACAATTTAATACGTACACAACGTAAGATACTGTGCAGTTGTCATACATTAAAAACAATATGGAAGAACGAAAACAGGAATACAAAGGGTGACGCCAAGAAATAGTAGTAAAAGACCACAAAAGTACATGTTAGGGAGTTGAAAAAATATTTGGTACAAAACATGGATTACCGTAGACAATACAAAATAAAAACCTGATGCAACATATTGGAAGTAAAACATTGAAGGTCTAGTATTTATGAATACTACGAGACACCTTTTATAAAGTGAATATGACCAGTTTTGAACAGCACAAAATAAGGATAAACTAATCAGTTCAACTAAATATTACAAAAAAAAAACAATTAGATATATGCATTCCGAAATCACTACAATAAACAGAAGTATAAAACGAAAAGTTATGCTATTTCTGCAGTTTTAATAAAAAATAATTTAAACGCAAATGTATGACTTAGGATGATCATTTACTGCAACCTCATACTCCAATGAAAGACTTGACCGGTAAGAACCTTTTTAGCACTGAAGATGAAGGAATGACTGATTTCCAACTGCTAACCGAGTATGGTAAATATTTCAAACCACATAAATCGGTGGAACGCTTCAGCCAATATTTAGAAATTTCAAATCATATGTGAAAATAAGAGGTGTGAATTTTATGTCATCAGTGTTTTTAAAAATCTGTTGGAGATGTGAGCTGTCTAAATACAATTTACGAAGAAAAATATATGTTGATTTAGGGTGAATATAAGATCAACTTTCAACATATTTTTGTTACATTACTTTATGGACATTTATTGCATTTTTACTACGACCTGTGTTTTGTGGCAATCACTCCATAAATTCTAATCACCATAACCGATCTACTTAAGTGTATATGTAATTTTGCAGGGATCATCGTCAAAAAGGCTTTCGTCACAAAGCTGGTCTTCCTACTTTAGTTAGCAGGACAGAGAAGAAGATAGAAGTAACAAAGTTCATCGTATTGAGTCGGAGCTGAGGAATATTAACTAAGTGTCCAAACTTATAAGTATCATTAAGCACTTTTACAGATAATCGTTGTACTGAAAATCAACTCAAAATTGCCGAAAGTTTCGAATATATCTGTGAAAATCACATTTACGCAGGAGGATATTTCGGATTAAATGATGGCAAGCACATGAAAATTTGAGTAGAGCCCACTTAATACAATTTACTGGTAATGCACACACTGCTAAGATAACATATTTAATGATCAACCAGTCAACGTGAGACTTGATGTGAATGTATATCGACGCAGTCATATTATTTGCTAGGGTCTTACACTATTTACAAGACCACAGATAACTCATTTGTGACTAATTACTCAATATACAAACAGCTCATTAAAAATTTACTGTAAGTCATACAAACTTACGCCAAGTGTATCTGATTTTCTGTTCAATCCAAGTACATAAAACCGAACATAGTAAATTAGTCACATTTTCATGAGAACAAATCAAACTCGAAAACGATGGAGATGCTATTATTGAGGTCTTTAAATTCACTAACGACTGGTCTCAATGACTGAAGAACATTCTTTACCACTAAATGTATTTTATTATCAATCAAGCATCTGCGGTCAAGATAATCTGAACTGTAACGTTTTGTTAAGGAGGAAAATCGTATTTTTAAAAATCTCAGCTACTGGACTTTAAGTAAATCCAACGTTTCACTCAGAAGTCTGATTGAAGCATTTTAAAGAAAATATAGTCAAACATCGGGATTATTAAACATTAATACACAATTCATCGGTTAACTTTATGCTAAATAAGTCGTCCAATCATGTTAAAAACGTTGAAAGTGAGATTTGTTGTAGTGCGCATGAGAAATTTGCTGTTAAAAGTGGAGGAAATTATATTAAGATAACATTTACATGTACACGTATGTAGATCTAGTTCGAGAAAAATCCATTGACTATATGTCGCTTCTTATCAAAGATTCTTGATGAAATTAGGTAACTTAGCGGATAGTATGTATCAAACATGTCACAGAATACATAAAATGAAGATAAGTGGACAAATGTTTCCGTAATTATATTGGACAACATAATTGTTCATCGTATATTCAGGTAAACCAACTGATAAGAACAGGTGAAGTAATCATTTTTATCCACATAATAAAAGATAGATTAAGCGAAGTAAAATGTAAAAAGGAGTTCCGGTTTACTTACGAATTATTAGTTGCCATGGGACGGCTAATTACGTTACATCTCTCCCGGTAATATTGTCTGGATTCCACTATGTATATGGCTTTAGCTATTAGTCTCTATTTGTATGAAATAAAACCTATTTGGAGGATTCTTGTGCATTTAAACCAATGGTATGACCGGAACCTCATGAGCGTAATACTATTAAGACTTTGTTTTCTAGATTACCCAGGTCTTCTTAGGATTTGGGAATGTGCTTCAAGCGAAGTCTGCACCCCTTCATCCTCACAATCAGCTTCTATGATGTCTCACCTACACATATAGCATTATATTCACTACATTTGATCTCATGTACACAATTTTGATATTCTTCCTTCAGTATTGAGTTTTTATCTGTCACTAACCTAGAGTATTGTCGAATTTAGTGAATATAATGGTATATATATATATATACTCGAAACTTATAAGCATTTAAGCACAATTAAGAATCCACAAACTTAATAACCCGTGTAAAATAAAAATACCCTAATATAGTTTATTCTCCCAAACCATCTATCGATAGAGTATACTTTTTAGAAACACCATTTTCCAACACTAAGCTACATACAACTACTTTCAAAGGAATAACAAGCTGCAAAACTACTGAACATTGTTTTTATTTACCTCTGGGTATGTTCTTTGGGCTCATCAAAATAGGTGAGAAGAAAAGCCATTCGATAAGCCGAGAATTAGAAAGTTTGAGTATACTTTTATAAATTATTACATGCAGTGATCAACTATAGACTAAACAGTGCTCCTTACCTCCCCATCGAGCTCCATAATTAGTCTCAGAACACCATGCGCAGCAGGATGTTGTGGGCCGAAATTTAGATGGACGGAGTGAACCTCCTGATGACTTACATTGAAAAAGTCGACTAGACACTATTATTAAAAACGGTAACGAACTTGGTTGGACTGTGGTGTTTCTCTTGACGGCCTCCGGGTGGTACAATGTCTCTTTAAGTTCATCCATAAACTTTTTGTCAGGAACCCAACGAGAAGAACATCTTGTTGGTTCCTTATAGTTTGCTAACCATTTACTCAGAGACACTGCGTTTTTACATGATGAGTTGAACAGTCTACGGCCGAAAGTCAACATAACAGTAACGACAATATCAAACTACCCGCTTTCATTATTCAAATGGTTGTGGTAGGAATAGAAGCTTTCGCATAACGGGCTCCAGTGTCTAGTAGCAGTGGATCACCAATACCTCCAGGCAGGAACCTAGATATAGTGACAATAACAGGGGGAAAAATAAACTGGTGGCGGCTATTCAGAAAGGACAGTGGTATTTTCCCCTGAGTAAATTTGATAGTATTGATCGTTAAATTACGCACCAAGACTACTGTTTTCGGTTTAACTGAATTCTTTCAGTTAAAGTATTCCACAACAGTACAGTTTTCCCTAGAGGAGTTCATCATCTGTACTTAACGAATACAGATACATAAAACTAAAGACACTGGTACTTAGTCTTCGTCGTTGAATATATCTTTGAGGATTGTTTGTATCCATAGGTGTTAAGATCTTTCTGTAGCTACTGAAGTTGGAAATTTTTCGATGTTTCTTTGTCTTATTTATATGGGAACATAAAATAAATATGTGACGCAACTGAGACATCGTTGTGGTAGACCAACATTCTATTTCCCGGTCGATGAAATGATGCAAGTTGATAACTGCAACAAGTAGTATCACAATGTGTGCACCGGACTCACCCCGGCTGCATATAAACGGTGCTGTAAGCGATTATCACGTTGGCTGTGTAAAGCTTGCTATTCCACTAAGTCTCTGCCGATTCTGGAGGCGATCGTGCTGCTAAACTTAGCCAGGAAATTGCCTCTGACAAACAGTCAGCAGATGATGATCAGAACTCTGCTTTCGAGGAATCTGAGAACTTTATGAGCTCAGCTCTAGACTCAAATGAGACCATAAAGGTGGACGTCATCAGGGAAACAGATAAGAATATGGATGAAGGTGTTGTTACAAGGAGAAAGAAGAAGCGAGCTGAGAAGAAACTACTTATAGACAGTACTGATACAAACTATAGGGGATCCAAGTCTGAGCAATGTAGAGGAAGTTGTCAAGCGTCAAAATAAGGTAAATGAGCGGCTCACAGTCACACCCAGGAAAAGAAAATTAAGAAAACAGACTGTAACCTCTGAATTAGAATCGGAGTGCAAGGAAAAGACAGTTTCAGAAATAAAAATTCCATAGCGTGTCAAGACAGACCTACCTGAGAGACCAGTCATTTTCCGTAAGTTAAAAGAATCTTCCGATAAGGAACCAAAGGCTAGATTTGAGCACGACCTCAATCATATTAAGTCCTTCACAAACAAGCTACTCTCAGAAACAGTTTCCGGAGTTAGTATCTGTAAACTTTACAGAGCATGATAAAAGATGGATTCTTAGAGTCCTCAGAAAACCGCCTTTTAGTGCGGCGTTGAGTCGCGATTGACTACCATCACCACTACAGGAAGATTACGTACCAGATATTAGGTATTAGGTATTAAAAGACAAGCTGCAGAAGTGGAAATAAACGAGCGCCGCCGAAACGGTGAAAGAAGCCTCGTTCTTAAGGGTTTTGAAATTGTAAAAGTTCGGAGCAAAACGGTTTTCGAAGCACTGTCGGTGGTAGGGAAAAGTTCTCCACAGACTTGAAAGCATGCTATACAAATGTTCGCGACCTACTAAATAAAATGGCGGAGCTCAAGTCAGTGGTGGATAAAGAGAAATCAGATATTATTGCTGTCTCCGAAACTTGATTAACGTCAGAAGTATTAGATAATGAAATTAAGTTGACTGGTTTTTTATCCAGTAGGGCTGATAGATTAAACCGAAGGGGAGGCGGGGTTATCCTATACCCTAAGGGGTTTCGAATCCTCTGGACTTTAAGGCGGACATTCACTAAGTTAGATGCTACCATGTTCACCACAGTATACACAACCTTAGTGAGAATTACGCTTGGGAACTGCGTTCAGACTGCAAGCTGCTGTTTAAAAGGTGATTCGGAAATACTAGAAAATGTACAGAGGGCAGCTATCCGTGCAATTCCAGAACTCTGGAGTTTACCATACAATAGCGGCTGGAAAATCTGGAACTCTTTACTCTGTTCTATCGCAGACTAAGGAGAGATCTAATTTTGATGTACAGAGTACTGAGAAATTATATTGAATCTAACTTATTCTCTCTCTTTCTTCCCACTAGATCGGGACACCTCAGAGAACATAGCAGGTGAGTAGAAAAAGCCAAGAACGAGCAAAATACCCATGGCATACAGGTTTTAACACCGAGTCATCAGTACTTCGAACCTGCTGCCCGAAGCAGTGGTGTCCGCACCTTCAGTTGACTCTTTCAAGAGAAGACTGGACACTCACAGAAGCGTGTTAGAAAAGGAATAACATAGTCCGTGAGCCTTCTGTTCTTAGTACACAAATCTAAATCTGATAATAAGATGTTATCCTTAGTCCTTTAGAATAGGTCAAGTTTTCTCTTATAAGACTCCTGGGAAGTCGCTTGGACTAATTCAGTCGGCAGTAAATTCCAGCAATTAACAACTCTTGAGGATTAGAAGTTGTGTTTATAGTCCGTTGTGCTATGTTGTGTCTCCGATTTTTTGGTATTACCCTTTAGGTTTGTATTGGGACTAAGCTTAAGTAGGTGTTTAAGAGGATGTCCAGAAGTGTTAAGGACACTGTAAGCCATTAGCAGGTCACCTCTAAGATGCCTGTACTCTAATGGGTAAAGGTTAAGTGATTGGAGGCGCTCTTCATAAATTTTGAATTTGAGACCTTAAAAAAGCTTTTGGAAAATCAAGGTAAATGATACCAACCTTCCCCTTGCGGTCAAGGATGTTTGTTTATCTGTCCACCGCAGTCAACAGGTTGGTTGTACAGGAGTGACCCTTCCTGAAACCATGTTGTTGGGGTGAGAAGTCTAAGGATGGTAAATTGTCATGTATACCATCGCATGTTAGGGACTCCACAATTTTTTAAGATATACAGAGAAGAGACACCGGTCGGTAACTTGAAACTTCACTGCGTCAACCTCCTTTGAAAATTAGTGTGATATGAGCCAGCTTCCAAATTTCCGAGAGTTTGCCCCAGCTTGGAGAGTGTGAAAACACCACACTAAGCGGTGTTGCCAGGATTGAAGCTTCTTCCCTCAGTATAGCAGAATAAACCATATCCGGGCCAGGAGGAGTGTCTTTTCTTAGGTGATACAGTTTCCGAAACACCAAGTCAGCGCCCAGGCTCACTTCAGAAAGTCCTGTACAATTGAAGATGAAGCTTTCATCAGTATAGTTGATGTGGGTCGGTTGAAATGTCCGTGAGTATTGCTCAGCCAAAGGGTTAGCGGCATCGCCGTCGTTATTGGTCGGGCCATTATGACCTAGCAGTTGGGAAACTCCAGTTTGGGCTTGACGAAGAGAGGCTACATACCGGAATAAGCTTTACGGATTGGAGACAAACTTATCCGTAAGCTTTATTTGGTACTGAAGCCTGTCTTCTCTCATAGCCTTCGTGCATATGTTCCTTATATGTTTGTATTGCCTGTACGCGCCGTTGTTATTAGTTCGTTTGTATTCTGCCCAACAGTGCCTTTTGCGGCTTAGCAGGTGAAGAGTGCGGTTCCTGATGACTGTAGGTTGCTCATAGCTTTTGGGGACCGTTAGAGGAACTGAATGATTTGCAGCACATATGAGAGTGTGCAGTAAGAAGTCCCAGTGAACATTCACACCAAGTTGAGGGTGAACATCCCTATCCGCCTGTTGTAGATAGTCATGTGGAGCTGACACATTCAACCGTTTGAAATTCCAGCGCCTGTTGTTGGTGGAATATCTTAGCTCAGTTTTGCTGACAAAATTGAAGGCTATAACGGCGTGATCGCTTTTCTCCAGGGGAGCCAGGATTGAGAGGTTGTCAACTAGAAATTCTTCGTTAGTAAATACCCAGTCTAGGCGCGACGTTATCTGACTGTTTCTCTAACGAGTTGCTGACTTTGCATGTTTGTATAATCCCAACTCCTCAATGAGGTTGATGAACCAAGCTTCAGTTGAGTTTTCACCTCCAATATACGTATGTTCCAAGAAAATGACTCTCGGGAGATTGAAGTCCCCTAGAATCAGGATATGAGTGAAACCGAGACGCGTAGAGCGGGATAGTCCTTCCAGCATATGACTGTCATACTCGATGTCGTCAGTGGGCTTCCTATAGATAATCCCGACCAGGTACCTCGAAGTAGTAGACAATCTTACAGAGCACCATACTGATTCATCAAGATTGTTAAATTCATGGTTGTGAACTTCGTGTACCTCCAGGCAAGATCGTATGTATGCGGTTACTCGACCCACAATCCCTGGTTTCTGTCATTGTGAAACAAAGTCACCCTGAGTATTTCTAGCTGGCCCGTAAATTGGGGAGATAACCAAGTTTCAGATATTCCTATCCGATGAGCTTTGCTAGCATTGCTAAGTTCACGTAGCTCATCCATTTTGTTTGGTAGACTCGCGGCGTTCATGTATAGGCAGTTTATGCTTTCAATTCGAGACCCGTGAGTTTCTTCCTGTTTGTTTGTATGAGCCTTACGTGAATGGACAGGTAGCCTAGCCATATAAGGTTTGCCGAGTTGATAGGCTCTGTCCTTTACATGTTTTTTGTGATCAAGACAGTCCTTAAGTGGAATGGACAGCCCCAACTTGCCTTTGTGCTTGATTCTGGCGTCATGCGGTCTATCCGGGTGCATATGGATTTCAGTTGGCAACCGACGTCTGGCACGGAATGCTTCCAGAATTGCAGCCGCCATATGGGAGAGTGGGAAAGTTATCTTCATTGGTCGGGGTCTAGAATCCCTGCCCTTCTTGGCTAGTCTCGTCACATATTAAGTCAGTATGTTTTTGAGCCTCAAGTATTGCTTGATGAGTTTCCATTACCTAATATTAGAGTTTGTTTGGCTAGGGTCGGTGTTTTCCGGTACACCTTGCACAATGATATTTCTTCTGCGGAAAAACTTCTCGTGAGATTCTTTAGGGATGTTCCGGATGAGATTGTGCTCAGAATATGGTATTTCGGGCAGTATTATTACGTTCCCATCGGATTTCAGTA